ATGTTTTGTGGGCTAAACAGAAGTTCATTTTTCACATTTTTCCTTCTCCCGATGAACGACTGACAATTTTGTCACAAAATTGTTTGATCGACAAATTTGGAACTCATAATTTGATGCAAATGTCTGTCCCGTGAATAATTCCAGATTAGTGAATATTTTGGGTACTTTGCAAGCTGTTTGCCTAATGTGAATCGACCGGACACTGTAAATTTGTTGGGCTGGAGATAAGGAAGGGGGTTGACAACATTGGAGCAAATTGTTTCCTCCAATGGTTAAAATGGCTGAAGCTGCTTCAGTATTTTTTGCAATTAAATAGTTTCTGATTGTTTCCGAAGTCCTTTACCCTGAAGTTTCTTTAACTTGCTATGGATCTAGAAAATTACAGAATTAATAAAGCTTTGCTACACACGAACCAAAATGAGTATTCAGTGATGTAATCGTATCAATGTGAAGCTACTCATTTGCCTTCTCTAATTTGGTTAGCTGATTAAAACAATTATATATATATATATATATGTATGTGTGTGTGTGTGTAAGTGAACGAGTTGGTAGTGCTGTGTTCTCTGAGTCAGAAGTTTGTAGGTATAAGACCAACACCTTGACTTTGAGCCCATAGAATCCCTGGTGACATTTCAACGTAGCGCTGGGTGCCCTATATTGTTCGAGGTACTGTCCTTTGTATGAGACATTAAGCTGACATGCATATTCAGGCGGATATTAAAGATCCCTTGGTACTACTCGAAATGAGAAGGGGGTTTCTTCTTGTGTTCTGACCCAACAATCCCCCAAAAAAATTGCTCATCCACTTCTTGGCAGTTTGTGGGACATTACTGTAGGCAAATCGGCTGCTGAAATTGCCTACAAAATACACAGTCACTACTTTGCAGTGATTCCTGTGAAGCACTTGGAGACATCTTCATGACATGAAAGGCACTATAACAATTTTTTATTGTAAGGTGTCATGTATTCGAGTACCTACACGACTGTGAATATCTAAATATATATACAGTACCATAGCTGAAATCCTCTAAAAGTGGATGAAACGAAAAGACATTGTAGGTTCTTTTAACCAAATTTGCGGAACAATTTAAAGTAATCAGATATATTTCAGCCAGCTCAGTTCAACTCACGCTGGTTTCCTTATGAAAGCAAAGTCATTATCTTTGTGAATAATTTCACCTTTCAAATTCATCTGGTTTCACCACAAGACCTGACAGATCACGAGAAAAGTTGCACCTCACTTCTCGGGGAGAAACAGCTGACAAAAGGAGAGTTCAGTACATTATAATAACTATGCCATTAAAAAGTATACCATTAAACCATTAAAAACGGCTGTCATCAATCCTATCCTCAAAAAACCCTCCCTGGACCCATCATTGCTTTCAAACTACTGTCCCATCTCCAACCTCCCTTTCCTCTCCAAGGTCCCGGAACAAGTTGTTGCTTCCCAGCTTCACTCCCTCCTCTCCCGCCATTCCCTTCACAAACTCCTCCAATCGGGTTTCTGTCCAGCTGCGACCAGGGCTCCCTCTGCCTCCTCGTCCTCCTTGACCTCTCTGCTGCCTTTGACACAGTTGACCACTCTATCCTCATCCACCGCCTCTCCTCTCACCTCAACCTTCATGGCTCTGTCCTTGACTGATTCAAAACGTACCTCTCACACTGCGTCCGCTTCATTTCCACAAATGGCTTCTCCTCTAACCCCCGCACCGTCTTGTGCGGCATTCCTCAGGGGTCTGTCCTTGGTCCCCTCCTCTTCAACATCTACACGCTCCCTCTTGGTGACATTATCCGCAGACATGGGGTCAACTTCCAACTGTACCTCTCTACCTCCACCCTTGACTCCAGGACCATTGCTGTCCTAACAGAATATATCAAGTCCTGTATGAGAGCTAACTTTCTTCAGTTGAACATCACCGGCCGAGGCACTCCTGCTTGGCTCCTGTTAGCGCCTCCACACCTCAGGCACTGACACCATCACCATCCATGGTTGCACACTCCACCTTGCTAAGCCAGTGCAGAACCTTGGTGTCTTGTTTGACCCTCAGCTATCCTTTCTCCCCCACATCTGTGCCATGACCCACTCTGCCTTCCCCACCTCCGCAACATCACCCAGCTCCGCCATTGTTTCACACCACAGGCCGCCGAAACCCTCATATACGCTTTCATTACATTGAGTCTTGACTATGCAAGCTCCTTGCTTGTCGGCCTCCCCAACTCCTCCCTCCACAGGCTACAGATCATCCAGAACTCTGCAGCCTGTATCCTCTCCCACATCAGGCTCTGTGACTCTATCACCCTATCCTCGCCCGACTCCACTGGCTTCCCATCACACAGAAGATACAGTTCAAGATCCTGGTCCTCACCTTCAAAGCCCTCCATGGTTTTATTCCCCCCTATCATCCTGCCAGCTCCCTCCACTCAGCGGACTCCAGCCTGCTTCACGTCCCCCGCCACACCCACCCCGCCATTGGTGGCCGGGCCTTCTGCCACCCTACCCCCACCCTCTGGAACTCCATCCCGCCGTCCCAACGTCTCGCCCCCTCCCTTGCCTCCTTCAAGACCCATCTCAAAACCCTCCTCTTCCACCGTGCTTTCGATCACTCTGTTTCCCCCCATCCTCCCCCGGCCTCCACCCTCCCCAATATCAAACCCCAGCTCGGTCGGAAACACCGACTGTCCGGTGCGTTTGGGACGTCCTCTCGACGTGAAAGACGCCACGCAAATGTAATTTTTGGTTTGTTTGTTGTTGTTGTCGTTGTTGTATACTACATTTTAGCAAAGCCCTGGCTGGCCCTCTACACTGTGCATTAAAAAATAGTTGAATGGAAAAAAATTGCGCTCCATCCAATAGCTGGCAGAGAAGAAAACCAATGGCGATTCGGCTGAACGTCATCACACAGGATCACATGGCGAAAAAGCAATTAGAGTCAAGTTTATTTTTAGTCCTGCAATGGCTGGGGTCCACTCATTATTTGGAATATTCACAGTCAATGAACAAGCAAGGGACTGACTGCGAGGGTGTGCTTTGCCCGACTTTGCTTTCGTTTGAATTTTCGTTCGTTCAAGGCTTGGCTTTAAGCTTTGCAACACACATACATACACACACACACACACACACACACATACATACATACATATATGCACACACACACACACACATACATACATACATACATACATATATGCACACATACACACACATACATATATGCACACACACACATACATGCACATACAGGTTGATTGGGTTGTTTTACTGTAGGTGATTGTGTGTGTGTGTGTGTGTGTGTGTGTTTGAGGGGAGGGGAGGGGAGTGTTTCAGCTGCTTTTTTTTGGAGAGGGAGGCAAGGAGAAAGTTTCAGTTGGTTTTTTTTCGGGGGGAGGGGAAGGGGAAAGTATTTCAGCTGTTTTTTTTTTGGGGGGGAGGAGAGAAAGAGAAAGTATTTCAGCTGTTTTTTTGGAGGGGAGGGAAGGGGAAAGTGCTTCAGCTGGAGGGAGGGTGGGGGTAGGGGGGGGGAGGGTGGAATTTGGAGGGGTGAGTGGGTGGTGGTGCAGGAGAAGAGGTGGCAAAGTGTTTCAGTTGTTTTTTTTGGGGGGGTGGGGGTGGTGGGAGGTAGGGGAAGGGGGAGGGAAAGGGGACAGTGTTTTAGCTGGGAGTGGAGGGGAGTGGGGAGGGGGGTGCTTTTGGTTGGGAGGGGGTGGGAGAGAGAAGAGAGAGAAGAGAGAGAGAGAGAGAGAAAGGAGGTGGCAAAGTGTCTCAAGTCATGACCCAGCCTCACAGCAGGAGCAGCGAGCACCGGGTGGCTCGCCTGTTGAGCGCCGTGGAGAGTGAGCTGGTGGTCGGCAGCGAGAAAGGCGACCCCACGGAAAAGCAGCTGAAAGTGGCTCTGGAGGAGTCGGAGCTGTGGCAAAAATTCAAGCGGGTCACCAACGAAATGATCGTCACCAAGAAACGGGAGGTCAGTGGAGAAGGGGAGGAGGGGGGGAGGGAAGGGAGGTGGGGGTGGGGGTGGGGGGGGGTCCGTTTTTGTAGCCCGAAGTGGTTGGGGGTTTGGGGTTGGGTTGTGGGGGTAAGAGAGAGAGAGAGACTGAGATGAGAACCAATGCAACTTCTTTCAAGAGCTGTCTGCGATGTTCCTAGTGATTGCTTTTTTGCATCCCAAACCCTGCTCCCCCCCCATCCCCCCCACCCCACACCACCCCTCACCCCCCACCCACCCCACCCACTGCTTCGGAAAAGCTGGGAAATATAACGCCAAAGAAGATCAAGTCAATGGATCACTTAGTCATTGATGGGGATTCTGTGAATCACAGATAAATAATGTGCAAAAGAATAGGTCCGTCGGTCCTGGACGATGACTTGTGTGAATGTCACCCACTCCTCTGGTCGAGAGATGTTGCCGTGAAGGTGATTCACTGGAGAGTGCAACTTCTTTGTGAAGGCTTTGGGGATGTGTGTGTCAGTTTCAATGCAGAGATGCGGGTCCAACAAAGTAAGACCTCGAGCCAAGAAAAAAAAATCAATCAATCAATCAATAATAATAATAATAATAATAATAATAGATAAGTAAATCAACGAGTGAGGCGTTTTGTTTTCCATCTTTTGCAAAGCAGTGGGGGGTTTGGGGGTGCAAGCGACCATCGGGGAGGATTTCAGTACTTTATTTTTCATTTTCGCTCAGTCGGGTGTTTTCGGTGGGAATCGAGCAAGGGGTGGGGGGGGGGGGGGAGAGTGTGTGTTTTTTGTAAAAAAAAAACCAAAATAAGGTCTTCGCTGAGAAATGCTTTGAGCATTCAAGTACGTTTCACGTAAGGCACCGAGTTCACAGCCAAACGCTGGTCACATTCGCTAATTTTAGGTCATATCGTTGCAATTGCATCTCTCCCTCTCCATCCCCCCCCCCCCCCCACCCCACAACCCCCCCACCCCCACCTCTCTCTCTCTCTCTCTCTCTCCCTTCCCCAGTTCCTAATCTTTTCAGCAAACTTTGCTTTGTGCAATCCTGTTTGGTTGTGTCTTGTTTCTATGTGTGTGTGTGTGTGTGTGTGTGTGTGTGTGAGAAAACTTCAACGGTGGGACCTTTTACTAGTTATAGTCATTGTATTTTGATCGTGGAGGTCTCACACGTGTTTTTTTTTAAAAAAAATCACAGTGCAATATTCACACTTTCCGATGACAGGCGTACAGTTAGTTTCCCATTCTCAGTCTCCTCTCTTGCTCCCCAGTGCCCTCTTCCTCCTTGTACAGTTTTCCCGTATAAACGCCCCTTGATCAGTCGGGATTGATGAGATTAGCGTTATGAGAACGCCAGGATAATAATAATAATAATAATAATAATAATAATAATAATAATAATAACAATAACAACAATAACGATAGCATTACTTACAGATCCCAGTTCTGGAGACATTGGTCCAGGTATTTTGGTGCAGGTTTGTAAATCCCTGGCGTGCTGGGGGATGCAAACTGGAATTGTGTTAATTCAATTTGACAGCAAACACACACACACACACACACACACACGCAATCACACACACACATACACACACACACACACGCAATCACACACACACATACACACACACACACGCAATCACACACACACACACACACACACACATGCAATCACACACACACACACACATGCAATCACACACACACATACACACACACACACGCAATCACACACACACACACACACACACGCAATCACACACACACACACACACACACACACACGCAATCACACACACACACACTCGCACATACACACACACACACGCAATCACACACACGCAAACACACACCGAATTGCAGCTCAGCAAAGGAAAAATCCTGCACGCGTTATCCCATCTGGAAAATCGCAACGATATTTCACGGTGGGGGATGAATCTGCAGCGCGTTTATTACGCGCAGTACGAAAACAAGACGAAAAGGGGCCGCTTTGCAACACGATCTATTTTACCAGAAGGACGTCGCGTTGTCACCTGTGCGGTGATCTCAAGGTTGTTTTTTTTTATATTGAGGTTCAGTGAGTGTGCAATAGGGGGTTATGCCGAACCCTTCCTCTGCAAACCAACGTACCTCTGAACCACCACATACATCACTGTCGATCAACAAGTGTGTTGTGACTTAAATTCATTGGAGCGACACCGACTGCAAAATCCGTTTAAAACCGACGGATTCCGTGTTAAATTTTAAGAGTGATACAGATCGAAGCAATGACCTCAAGCAAAAAAAAAATCAATAAAAATCAATTGTTTATTCTCAACAACCTGAAATATAATATAATATAATATAATATAATATAATATAATATAATATAATATGTAATGTAATGTCAATCGGCGTAAAGCCTCTTAATATTCGCTAAATTTCTTTTTTTTTAAAAAAAAAGCTAACATTTTTTGCCCCCCCCCCCCCCCACCCCTCCCCCCCAAACAAGCCATCAGAAATCGTTTTAATGGGCAGTTTTTAACTAATCACCGTCGGGCACTTTACAGTACTATTGCGATCTCCACTTTCGTTAAAGGTTTATGAAACTCTTTCGCATCAGTAAATATTTGGGTTCATTTATATTCCTGTCGAGCATTCGCCCGACTTTCGCTGTGTTTGCGAACGCGAGAGCAACACCTTCACGCTTTTTTCTGGCTTCCCACGTAAAGCATAAGACGAACTAACGTGACACTATTTTGCATTACGCCTTTGGGACAACGAACAGAACCGCAACTGGGAGACTCGCGATAAAACGGTCCTGTTGAAAATCGCAGCGTTTTGCCCCCAAAATAATATGATACAATAATAATAATAATAATCCTTGCATTTGATATAGCGCTTTTCACGTCGGGAGGACGTCCCAAAGCGCTTCACAGAACACACTGCAAAGTGAATTGACTGTATATTTGTGGGCGAACGCGGCAGCCAATTGCGCACAGCAATGTCCCACAAACAGTCGTAGATTGAAAATGACCAATTTCTTATTGTTTTTGGTTTTTGGAGGGTTTATTATTAGGCTCTGTGTGGAGTAAGGAAACTTGCCCAAGGTTTTGCCCTCTGCCTGGAATTGAACTCAGGTCTCTCACTTGCAAAGCGAGTGCTCTAACCACTGAGCTACAGGACTCCACAAATAATACCTTGTTCCAAGTTTTATGGCTTGGGTTTTGCAGGAGTAAGAGAAATAAATGCTTTGGGTGGTGGTGGAGGGTCTCTATTAAAAGTCATCGTTTTTTTGGGTGGGGGGGGGGTGGTGGGCATATGTGTCGGTGCTCGGGAATATAAAAAATATTGTTCTGCACTTTGAGCCCAGCGTTTCCCCCCCAAACCGAGCAGAGCGAACCAGGGGATGAGCAGACGAGCTTCCCTGTAGGCTTTTCCCCAATACACTGCCCTTAGGGAACCCTCAGAGAGAGAGAGAGAGAGAGAGCTCACCTCGGTGTGATTTCCCTGTGTGATATTTGTTGTTGTTGTTGTTGTTGTTGTTGCTGTTGTTGCTGTTGCCCCTCTGACACTGTCGATTTTCCGCTGTGGAGTTTGCAAGGAGGAACTTGGAAGAAGTCGCCCAACGCCATGTGAGAGCCAAAAGAGAGAGGGAAGAGGACTTGCATCCCGTTTCCAGGATAGCAGGAAAGGGATAGCGCTGTGTTCCAGATCAGGGGCTGATCTGACGCCATCCCCAAAATTGGGCTCCGAAGCGATCGTACTGATCCCTCCGAAACCCCCAAAACAATAATAAATTGGTCATTTTCAATCCACGACTGTCTGTGGGACATTGCTGTGCGCAATTGGCCGCCGCGTTTCGCCCACAAATATACAGTCAATTCACTTTACAGTGCGTTCTGTGAAGCGCTTTGGGACGTCCGCCCGACGTGAACAGCGCTATATCAAATGCAAGGATTATTATTATTATTATTATTATTATTATTGTTGTTATTATTATTATTATTAGCATACAGTATCTGCCCACTGGAGCTGTCTTCTCTAATTCCAACCCTCCCTTTGCACTCTCCTCCCAAATTCATGTCTTCATTCATCCAAGTCTTTATTTGATTCCCTTTCAAAGGATGTGACCGTCTGGGCGTCAACTCGTAGTCAAAAAAAAAAAGCATTTGGCTTCCTGAACAACCCTTTTGCGTGAAAAAATTTTTTTTTGGTTAACCTCCTCTTATGTTTTTCTGCTAATCTTCTTTGTTATGATGATGGTGAACGACGGCGACTAATAGCGGTGAATAATAATATTTATGACTGCTTAATAATGACGTGGGTGCAGTGATGAGTGATAGTAACAATGATAACGATAATAGTTATAATAATGATTATAATTATAATAACGCGGAGGCTACAGTGTGTTGGTTTCTCCTCCAACCTTCTCCCCTCCTGGGGGTGATTGAATCTCTTGTCCCTTTCATCGGCCTCTCCTTTTGGCACAGAGAAATGCTTCGTTTATGCGAGAGATATTTATTTCAAATTGACCAAATAATCCACTCTGACGCTAACAGGATGGGAGAGGTGCAGCCCCAGTCGCTGGCTGTATTCGTAATAATATAATACTATATTAGATACTATAATAATATAATTTTATTATTATTATTATTATTTTATTATAGTATGAATTATCATCGAGGATTATTGCTATTATATTATTACATAATATAATATAATATAATAGCAATAATCCTGGATGATAATTCATGCTATAATAAAATAATAATTAATAATAATAATAATAATTCGTAGCCTGGTTCTGGGAATATCTGAATGCCCCCAAAACATTTCTGTCTCAAACCTGGTCGCTCTTTTTCTGCCCTCGTTTGCACTGGATGGGGACTTCTGATCCCATTGCTGAACGGTTCCCACGGAACTCTCCCCCACTCCCCCTTTCCTGCCCTAAACGGCGTTGCTCCGAAGGTTGGAATTACACAGGAAAAACCCCGAGAGTCAGAGCCAGAGTCAGAGTCACTCTCTTCTATTGAGAGGGGAAAAAAAACACAGGTGCTTTTTTTTCGTGTTTTTCAGTGAAATGATCGTTATGTGTTTCCCCAAAGAAAGGTTTGTTTTTTATCCTTCTCTCTCTCTCTCTCTTTCTTTCTCTCTCTCTGTTATCTGCTTTCTCTCTGTCTCTCTTTCTATCTCTCTTCTCTCTCTCTTTCTCTCTCTGTTATCTGCTTTCTCTCTGTCTCTCTTTCTATCTCTCTTCTCTCTCTCTCTCTCTCTCTCTCTCTCTCTCTATCTCTATCTGTATCTGCTTTCTCTCTGTCTCTCTTTCCATCTCTCTTTCTATCTCTCTCTCTCTCTCTTTCTCTCTCTCTCTCTTTCTCTCTTTCTTTCTTTCTTTCTTTCTTTCTTTCTTTCTTTCTTTCTTTCTTTCTTTCTTTCTTTCTTTCTTTCTTTCTTTCTTTCTTTCTCTCTCTCTCTCTCTCTCTCTCTCTCTCTCTCTCTCTCTCTCTTTCTATCTCTCTTTCTATCTCTCTTTCTTTCTTTCTATATCACCTTTCTCTCTCTCTCTCTCTCTCTCTCTCCCTCTCCCCCCCCCCCCCCCCCCCCCCCCCCCCCCCCCCCCTCCCCCCCCCCCCCCCCCCTCTCTCCCCCTCTCCCTCTTTCAGGCGAATGTTTCCAGTCCTTAAAATAAGCGTCTCTGGTTTGGATCCAAACGCCATGTACTCATTCCTGTTGGACTTCGTGGTCGCTGATAGCCATCGCTGGAAGTATGTGAACGGCGAGTGGGTACCTGCGGGCAAACCAGAGCCCCTGACCCAGAGCTGCGTTTACATCCACCCGGACTCCCCCAACTTCGGGGCGTATTGGATGAAAGCCCCCATCTCTTTCAGCAAAGTCAAGTTGACCAATAAAGTCAACTGCGGTGGACAGGTAAGGCAAGTCGCTGCTGCTGCTGCTGCAAACTCCCTCTGGTTTGCAACGACAAGCCAAGTGCAATTACGAACACACCAAAAAAAAAGGGCGCATTAATGTAATTATAGTTATCCCTCTCTCAGCCCCACTCTGCTCATGTCGCCCCTATTGTTGGATGGGAAACCAAACGCAAACAAGAATTAAAAAAAAAAACCCACACACAGGTCTAATTGAGACTTTCAGAGTTTAATGGACATCGCGTTGTACTCAGCAAACAACCCCCACCCCCCCACTACCCAAAAAAAAAAGGTTTTTTTGTTTTGTTTTGTGGGCTGAGAGATCTCGCTGTGTGTACGACTCCAGGGTTATGTTTTTTTTTAAAAAAAAAACCCCGCTTTGTAATGAGTTTTAGTCATTGATGTTTTCCTTGGCACAGAGCTGTCAGTTGCCTCCTGAAATTGCCTTAAACAAAAGTGAGTGCTTTACATGCAATTAGATAATTAGAGTTGTTTTGCAATTATCAATCATCACATGAAATTAACGGCTTATCCCTTTTAGACACCTCTCCCCCTCCCCACCACCACCCCCCACCCCCACCACCCACACACACACACACACACACACACAACAAAACCAACTTGAAAGTCTGGAATACATTTATTATGGGATGACTCTGCCCCCACTTAATTCTAATACAAAGTTGGAGGTCTTAACTGCTGTAAAAATAATTAGCAGCTGGCAAAGGGCACTTATCCCGAATTAATGGAATACAACAATTTTCAGATTTGAAACAAATCGTGCACTGCATTTCCCTTTCATTTCCCTTCTTTCATTTCGATAAGTTGCCTTTATACACAGGAACATAGGACTGCTGGACCAAAAAAAAGACCAAGGTCCATCTCGACCACGTTCTTGCATCCTGGTAGTCGAAAGCTACAGTAATAGATATGTTGATAGCAATTAATACACACATATATATATATATATATAATAATAATAATCCTTACATTTGTTATAGAGTCTTATCACATCACTGAGATGCCTCGAAGCGCTTCACAGAATATACTGTAACGTGAATTGACTGTGTATTTTGTGGGTGCAACACAGCAGCAAATTCCGCATAGCAGTTATACACACATATATATAATATATATATAAATAATGCTTTGGAACATCCTCCCTCCTGATGTAAAAAAGTGCTGTACAAATGTAAATTTGTATTGTTTTGTGTTATACAAATGTATAGAGTTGTCAAATCCTTCATAGCTTCCTATTTTTCTGTTCTCTTATATTGTTTGTGGGATGTCTGTGCTAAGGAATAGAAAGTATAACATCTCATTTGGGTCTACATTTACTCTATTAACACAGTGTTTCAGAGTATTCCGAATGCACCAAATTCAAATTATTGAATTCAGACTCAGCTTTGATGCTGATTTTCTTTAGGCTCTTTTAAGCAACAAACCAACAAAATCCTACTTTAATTTAGCAATAAATTATATTAATCCTTGTGTTTAATATAATAATAATAATAATAATAATAATAATCCTTGCACTTGATAGAGCACCTTATTCTGTGAAGTACTTTGAGATGTCGCAACAATGTGATAAGGTGCTATATCAAATGCAAGGATTATTATCATTATCATCATTATGATCATGTTATTGAGACATCTCAAAGAGCTTCACAGAATATACTGCAAAGTGAATTGACAGTATATATTTTAATATACACACAGCACCACTTAATATCATCAGGACCTCTGAAAGAGCTTCACATGATTTTACTGTGAATTGTAACATGTATTTGTCATTAGAGTAAGTGTAAATCCAGGTATTTTTCCACTTGTCACTCGTTCACAGCATTAAGCAGTGTCCAGAAGGATACAACAATTAAAAGTATTCTACGTGGGTAAAAATCCTGTAAGTAAAGTCAGGATTGTTAACTTACACTTTGTCTTCCTTTTTTTCACACAGGTAATTCTAAATTCTCTGCACAAGTACGAGCCTCAGATTTATATAGTGCGACTGGGAGGTCCTCACAGGATGATTTCCAATCACTTTTTCCCTGAAACTCAGTTCATCGCAGTGACTGCATATCAGAATGAGGAGGTCAGTATCACACAAGAACATCATTGTTGACACATAACCCTTTTCCTGTCATTTATAATAATAAATAATAATAATAATCAATAATAATATCATAATCCTTCCATTTGATATGGCGCTTTATCATGTCTCTAAAACATTTCAAAGTGCTTTACAGGATATACTGTAAAATTGATTGACTGTGTGTTTTGTGGGTGAAACGCGGTAGCCAGTTTGCGTACAACAATGTCCTACAAGTGAATTATGTGAGTTCAAAGTCCTGATATGGGGCATTGAACCCACAACCTTCTGACTCAAGAGGCAAGAGTGCTACCAACTGTGCCAGGTAGACCCATAGCTATCATTGACCTCCATCCTTAATCCTGTCTTCATATCTCCAATCGGGATCTCTGCGTAGCAACCAGGGCACAGCTTGGTTGATCATCCCTTTCGTAACTCTTATCACTGATGCCTTTCATAACAATCCTACTATCACTTGGCCAAGCTCTGTTAGTTCCGCACACAGCAGGGTCAAACCTGGGATATTCCTTGTCTTGTACATCTGAGAGACACATGGCATATCCCGAGGTCTCAAGAACCCGATCTTCAGTCATCATCAAACAAAATAACTACAAGAGGCAAATTGTTGAAGCTTTTTTATCGAAAAAAATTGTTTAAATTGACTGGGACTATCATTGTTAGTTAGCAGTTTCGAATTGAAAATTAATCATGTAGTTTAGAAATGTAACTTGAAAATTTAGCTGCACAGTCCTGTGTAAGTTTCTAATGCTGATTTTAGAGTGGAGACAGTGCTTGCCTCACCTTTTGCCTTTTCTGTGTGTGTCCTTTTTAAGGTTACAGCTCTGAAGATCAAGAATAACCCCTTTGCGAAAGCATTTCTGGATGCCAAAGAAAGGCGAGTCAATGCTTTGGAACAAGATGCTTTCTATCTTCATTGTTTGCTTTGCTTCAAGAACCATTTTAAGCTTTATTTTTTATTATAGTGAAAAGGTTAAGATCCATTTAGTCAGGTCCAGCAGGAACGGGAAACGTTTCATAGACCTGGACTCCAAGCAATTTAAATTAATAATCCTTACATTTGGTATAGCATCAGAAGGACGTTCAAAGCACTTAACAGGATTTACTGTGCAATGGAGTGAATGTGTATTTGTGTACAACAATAAAATTACAACATTACATTTGTATAGCACCTTTCACAAACACTGGGATTCCGTAGTGTAGATGGGATGCATGGAATTCTCAGCTTGGTTTGGATACTCTTATCCAATGATGGGTTTCCACATATAATAATAATAATAATAATCCTTGCATATAGCGCCTTATTACATCTTCTGAGATGTTTCAAAGCGCTTCACAGAAAATACCGTAGAGTGAATTGACTATATTTTGTGGGCAAAAAGCAGCAGTCAATTGCACACGGCAGTGTCCCATAAATAGTCGTAGATTGAGTGACCAATTTCTTACTTTTTTAAGGAATTATTACCTCTGGAAAAGGGATCTGCCAATTGACTAACAACCGGGTTCCTACTTATTGTTAGGTAAACAGAAGAGTGTGGAGTAAGGAAACTTGCCCAACGTTTCGCCTTGCCGGGAATCGAACCTAGGTTTGCTCGCTTGCAAGGCGAGCGCTCTAACTGCGGAGCTACAGGACTCCGGAGCGGTGTCTGTGTGTTTTGTGGGTGAATGAAACAGCCGGCTTGCACACAGCTATGTCCCACAGCCATGAAGTAAATGACCAATTTTGGGGCGAGAGATCATTAGCCAGATACTGGGATAAACTCCCTTCTCTTTTCAAATAATTCCATGGGATCTTTTTAATTTTCATCTGGAGTGGCAGACAGGGCTTCGGTTTAGCATTTTATCAGGAGGACAGGACCTCGAACGATACAGCCCACCCCTGCACTGTACTGTAATGTCATCTTGGACTACTTGAGTTCAACATCCCAACGCGGGGCTTCAACCCACGACATTTGACTCAAATGCGAGAGTGCTACCAACTGAGCCAGGCTGACATACTAATTTAATCCTATGTCTACATCTGAACTCTTACAGAGCCAGCTGCAAGGATCCCTCTGATAACTTTTCTGAAAATCAACACATGAATTACTCCCACAGTAAGTTGCTAACTTTGTTGTATACAAATAAGTGATATGAAGAGGTTGGTGTCAATTGCAGTGACCAGTCCTTGTTATAATAGTGTGACATGGTGGTTTAATATGCTGTCCTCTCCGCACAGCTATGCAGTGGAAGATGCTGACAAATGAATTCTGCAGGTAGATATGTGCTGAGATTTGTCCTTACCACATTGAATCTGTTGTACATTGCACTTTCACCAAGCAGCCACTAAACTACCCTGCAAACAAGTGACCCTGAGATTATCAAACAAGACAAACTGAGATGTGCATATCCACAACGAACCTCACAACCATTTAAAAGACCACTGGTTGTCATGAAATAATAATAATAATTTGTAGTTATATAGCACCTTTCACCTGTAAATAACTACCTCAAAGCGCTTCAGAAAATATAGTTGAGTAGAAATAAAGTAACTGTTGTTCAACAGTCAAATTCAGCAGCTAATCTTCCCCAACAATGTTCCAAGAAACAGCAATGAAATGAGGAGCCAAGCATTTAGACGTATGTTTGGATTAGGAGGGGAATATAACCTGGAGAAGGACTCCACATATCTTTGACATAGCAATCCCACTGCAGTCCTTCTATGCCCACTTGTTTTTTTGTCTGATGCATGTGGAAACACATCTTTATGCTTAAGAGTCTAACCTTAAATCATCTACTCAGAGTTCTTGATATGAATTGAAATTTCCATTTAGCTGGATTGGAGTGCACACTCTTCCCTAGAGGGATGTACCCTGCTCACCTAACCCCTGAAAATATTAGATGCTGGTTAGCAAGAGCCAGGGTGTGGGGACTGCAGGAATTTAACCAACTAAATCTGCTAGGTTGCCATTGACCTAAATCACATAGCAGAAAAATTGTAGAAACGAGTACTTGTAGGAAATAATTCCCACTTCTGCTTTTGGTTTAGCTTTCTCGTAAAATACCATACAAATTTACATTTATATAGGACCTTTCACATCTGGAGGATATCCCAAAAGTCTTAACAGTCCTGGCTTGGCACCTGAGCTCTTTGGGGAGGGGAAAGATTACTGAAAGTGCAATCAAAACAGACAGGTTTTGAGATGGACCTTGAATTAGGTGAGGGAGGGAACAAGTTGGAGGAACTCCGGGATGGAGTTCCAGAGAGTGGGGGTAGACAGGCTGAAAGCCTGACCATAAGATTTTTTTTCTTGGTATGGAAGTGCTTTCAGAGGACATCATCCTGTAGCATAGTGGTTAGAGCGCTTGCCTCACAAGCAAGACGACCCGGGTTTGGTTCCTGGCAAGGGCAAAACCTTAGGCAAGTTTCCTTACTCTACACGCCTCTGTTTAACGAGCAGTAAGTAGGAACCTTGTTGTTAGTCGATTGGATCACTTTCTGGGGGTAATAATCCCTTTTAAAAACAAACTAAAAAAATTGGTCACTCAATCCACGACTGTTTGTGGGACACTGCTGTGCACAATTGGCTGCCCCATTTCGCCCACAAAAATATACAGTCAATTTACTTTACAGTATATTCTGTGAAGCGTTTTCAGACGTCTTGTAGCTGTGAAACGGCGCTATATCAAATGCAAAGATTACTATTATATTATCATTTCTCAATGAGCCATAGTCATGTCAGTGCCATGTTATTGTTATTTGTTATTTTTCCAAGTAGGTGGTTGGTTGATGCCCAACCCGGAGACGATATGTGCACCGACAAATCCTAACTATCAATACACCACGGCATTGCCACTTTCTGGTGCCCACTCATACCACAGCTGTGAACGCTACAACTCCTTGCGAAGTCACCGTGCCAATCCATACCCAGCATCCTACATACATAGAAACTACGCTACAGGTAGGATGAAAAGTAGAGGATGAGTTGTTGTAAATTTTGTATCAAACCAGTTTGATACAAATAACCCTTACATTTGATACAGCAGCTTTCACAATCAGGAGGACGTTTCAAAGTGTCTCACAGGATACACTGTGAAGTGTTGTAATCATGTATTTTGAACGCAAACTCTTAATTGGTAAATATGTTTCAAAATCTGTTGAAATCTAACTTATTTAGATAAGTAATGTTTCATAAAATCTAGAATTGCTCTGAAATTCCTTTAACTTTTTTTNATCAACTTACTATATTTATTGAGTTTTGCTTTCTGTTTGTTTTTCTCTACGAGTAAATTGTTTGAAATGAGGATTGCTACATTAAACTGCCTTCTTGTAGTTTACATGGGTGACCACTTGTTAAGACCTTTGCCTGTTCAGTTTTTCTAACAAATGCAGTAGGTAAAGATTGATTTGTAAATAAAAAGGAAATGAAAAATCTTTTACTTTGGTCTGGGTGACAGGCAATCTGGTTAAATAGAAAAAAATATATAATAGAAACAACAAGAATGCATTACATTTGAATTTAAAAATAATTACTGTATTTGAATTCCAAATAATTCAATTGAATTAAAAATGTACCGAACTTAAACTAATAATACATTTCACCTCGTTTTATTTTGTTGTTTCATTTAGAGAATATATAACATTGTTCGTTTATGCAGTGTCCCAATAATTTATCCTACTTATTTCTGTGGGCTTACTTCAACGCTCCAATCTGCTCCCCCCCAGACGCCATCACCCACTGCATTCGCTCAGATGGCTTTGCCACATCCCTCCTCCCATCTGCTCCACAATTGGCGGCCATGCTTTACTATACCTCGAAGCCCTGGAATTCCCTGCCTCAATCCCTTTGCTTTGCCCCCTCTCTCCCCGTCTTCAAATCACACCTCAAGACTTTCCTCTTTGACCGTACCTTCAGTCATTCCCCTCTCTTTCCAGCTCACCGTCTAACCACACCACTGTTAAGCGATCTGAGACACTATTCACAAGAAGGGCACTATATCATTGCAAGTAGCTGTTGTTGTTGTTAACAAATGTTCATATAATGTGTGAACTAAATGAAGCAATTACTGAGGTTAATTCAACAACACACTCCAGATGTGCTCAAAATATGCTTGTCTGTTGACTACATAGATTATGTGTTGATGGTAGTTTGATTTCCAAATGCTTTTATTAACAGTCCTGTGATTAAGATTGGAGCAATCATATTAATGGCAGGTACCATTTGAGTATCAATGTCATCTGATTTGAGTGTCTGTTGAGACTTCTGAATGTCATTGTAAATACTGGAATTATTATTTCAGCTGATGAATTTCCCAACAAATAGTAAAAAATGTTGACATTAATGGACCGAATTTGATTTAATTCAATTTAAATCAAACGAAGGAATGTGCCAGTATTTGCCATTATGTTTTAGAGTCACCCAGACCATTCATGCACTTAGAAACATTGGAACAGGAGGCTGTTTAACAATGTTTAGCCCATTGAATCTGTTTAGTGGACCATTGCAGATCGTTTATAATAACAATGATAATCCTTGTATTTGATATATAGCAGCTTATCATGCTGTTGAGAATAAAGAAATTAGAGGGAAATTTCTTTTTTTCAAGAACAAATGTTTTACTGATCAATACTGTATTATGTTTTCAACTAGTTTCTTTTGCAGAGAGCTCCAGTAATGGTCTTCAGGTTTTACCTGGACACGACAACTGGTCAACGATGACTTCTGCAAGACACACCAACATGTTACCTGTCACACCTCCAACTGCAACTGGGTCTAGTGCTGGGTAAGGTCACATAAGTCAACAACCTGAAGGTGAATCTCAGCAGTTACCCCAACACACACTTCACCGTAATATACACCAACCTGCACCAAATGCTCTCCAGAATTAGGTAAGCAGGGTGCATCCCCACGGAGAGAGTGCTGATTTAATTCTAGTTGCAGTGAAATCTCCAAATGTAGGTGGCACCTCAAATGTGGAACTCTCAGTCTGGCTTAGAGACTCTTAAGCACGGTGTTGGGATTATGTATGTGTCAGACACCTGACTGACTTAAAAAAAACTATTTTGTATATGATGCTTATGAACGAAGGCTTTTGATTATTGCAGCCAAATGCTGAGTAATCCCAAATGCCACTGCAATCTCCTTACACACGGCCTATGTATGAAGAGGAATGATAGTATTTCTTGTATTTGATACGACACCTTGTCACATTATTGAGACAACTCAAAGCACTTCACAGAATATACTGTAAAGTGAATTGACTGTATATTTTCTGGGCGAAACGTAGCAGCCAATTGCCCACAGCAGTGTCCCACAAACAGTTGTGGTTTGAGTGACTAAATTATTGTTTATTTATTTTTATGAAGAGATTATTACCCCCGGAAAACTATCCGCCAACAACCAGGTTCCTACTTACTGCTTGATAAACAGAGGAGCGTGGAGTAAGGAAACACCTAATGTTTCGTTCTGCCTGGGAATCGAATCCGGGTCCTCTCACTTGCGAAGCGAGTGCTCTAACCAATGCGCTAGAGGATTCTGACCCTTAATAACCCTTGCAGATTAATTAGTCTTCACCTTAGGACTGTTTGTGAGACCTTTTTGTTGGAAATAGATGCTGTATTTGCTTCAAAAAAACAGTCACCACATTTACACTTGACAGTAATCAAGGTGCAGTGCATTGAGACGGTTCGACATGTTGAGGCACAATAAAATGTGCAATTGGCAGCACTGTGGATGGATTCATTATCTTCAATTTTGAACCTTTTCAAAAAGGTGTTGATGATAAAAACAAAGTAGCCACACTTCACTGCCAAGGATTGTTTTTAATACTGAGATTATTTCTTCTTGGTCACAAGCTAGAGTCAAAAGCCTTATTGGTTTTGGACTGCGGCCATGTCTAAATGGTAATGCGGTGGATGGGAATGGGGAGACTCGAACATATTTTATATGCTTTCATCCAGGTGGCACTTAACTAGAGGCCTGAATGGCTCCTTTCCTCAATGTCAGCTGGAATTTTTCCATGTTTGAGGTGTTAAAATATTTGATTGCCACTGGCAAAAATGAATGCGCTTAATGAATAACGGGCTTAGCATTGTGAGGGGTAAACGGCAGTGGTGATGGTGCAGTAGTGAGACCGCTTCACCTTGCCAACTGGAAAATTGCGCGACACAAGAGTTACATAGAGTGATGTTGAATGGAAATAGGACACTTGGCTCTACCACTCTGTGCTAGTGTTTGTATTCCACACAAACCCCCATCCCACCCATAGAATCACAGAAGGATATTCAGCCCATCATACCACGTTTCTCCCACAAGATGTACAATCAATTCACTTTACATTATAGTCTGTGAAGCGCTTTGAGACTTCTCGAAGATGTGATAAGGCACTATATCAAATGCCAAGATTATTATTATTCTTGTGTCTGTGCTGGCTCTTTAAAAACTAATCCTTTCAATCCCATTTACCTGCCCTTTCCCCCACAGCTTTGTAGTTCATTCCTTTTTTGAGCATTTATCTACCCTAGTGCTCGTTTGCTAACCATCTTAAATTGACGGCCTCCAGTCACCCCTCTATTCCCCTCTCCTGTTGGACATGGTTCATAAGTCACAATCTTATCTCTTCAGGATATTTTGGGTGAAATCTACTTGTGTTTTTTTAAAGCCAGTATACGTGCCACTGGGCAGTAGGTAACAGCTCTGTGAGCCCGGTCAACCAACCCAACACTGCTACTGGAAACCAACAAGGACAGTTTCTTCGAGGAAGCCTCAGCCAGCCTGCCACATCAACATCCTTGGTCGCCTTGTCCAGTGCAGGTGGAACAGCCATGGAGATTCACAGTGAATTGCCACTAGCAAGACTCTTAGTGGCTTCCGGGACCTCAGCCTTAAACCAGCCATTCTAATCGTTGGGAGTTTCGAGTGATCCCTTTTGTGAACTGCAGTCATCTATTACTGGATAGTAAACACATTTTCTCCTGTTTCTCTACGGTAATGTAATTCTGCTTCTAATTATTTTCCCCTCATGGAATTACACCACAGGGAAAAAATGTTTTTTTCCTGCTGGATTTTGGCAGCAAAGGTTGGAATGTAAAATATTAGTTTGTCCTATTACACAAAATAAAATTGTATTGAAAAGGCTTTCTATGACTTTTGAGGTTTATTTTTTAATGGGGCGCTTTTCGCAAGACAGGGTCGAATTTTTTTTCATTGTTTGAGGGTCAAACAGAATGAGGTGAGTTGCTTGAGAACGAAGCATTTCTTTGCTTCATCAGAAGATTGGGGTCTAATGTGAAGCATAGAAACAGGAGGAGACCATTCAGTCCATCAGGCCTGTTTCCACCATTCTATAAGATCATGGCTGATGTGTACTCGCCCTTGGCCCATATCCCTTGATACACTGACCAAATAAATATCTAGCCACCTTAGTCTTGAAAATTTGAATGGACATCCACAGCCTTTAGGGGGCGGGAGAGTTCCAGATTTCCACCACCTTTTGGGTGAAAAACTGCCTCTTGATTTCACTCCTAAATGGCCCAGCTTTAATTTTAAGATTGTGACCCCTTATTCTGGATTCCGCCTACCAGAGGAAATAGTTTCTCTGTATCTATCCTATCGAATCCCTTCATTATTTTAAAAAACTCAGTGAGATCACCCTTCAACCTTCTAGCATCAAGCAACAGTTTCTAGCAGGAATCCTTAATAAGAAAGCCTTGTGTCACTCCAAACCCAGTCTCTATTGTTCATTGTCCTTTTTTAATATAAAAATTGAACAAATGTTGCTACAAAACCCCTTGACATCGGTTCTAGGAATGTTACTGAGATATATATTTACACAAATCTAGTCAAACTAATCTGGTAGTGGACACAGAAATAATTGGAAATCCAACAATGCCACCAAAGATATACAATAATAATAATCTTTGCATTTGATATAGTGCCTTATCACGTCGTTGAGACATCTCAAAAAAATTACATTTATATAGTAATTTTATGTCGGGAGGACAACCCAGGAGACTTGTAGTTTAACAAAACAAACTTCTCAATAGAGCCCCTGGTCTGAGGAAGGGAAACATCAATTGCATCTCTTCCTCCCTTGCCTCCTTCAAGGTCAGTCTCAAGACCTTCCTCTTCGACCGTGCCTTTGGTCTCCCTCCCACCTCTCTGCCTTCCCTCACCCCTACACCCCCCCCCCCCCACTCCATGCTCGGGCCCCGACATCTGACTGTTCAGCGCTTTGGGACGTCCTCCTGATGCGAAAGGCGCTCTATAAATGTAATTTTGTTGTTGTTGTTGTTTTTCATCGCTATTCAGCGACCTGGAAAGTGCACATGAGTGTGAACGTCAGAGGAGAACCGGGATGACATTACAGCACAAAAAATGGGTAAAGCAAATGGGTAGATACATGCTTTAAAGCAGAAATAAACTAAAGGGATGCAGGAAAAGGGCAGGTAAATGGATTGCTGTTACAAGAGCCTGGCTTGGCTGTGATAACATGCAGTCACTGACTGATTAGGTGCACATATGAAGAATGACCACGGGAGGGCACGAAGAGTGTCAGGAGTCGGGAGCTTTGGGAGGAAGAAAAAGACTATTTTCTTAAAGAAAAGTTGTCACTGTCTAATTGATAATCTGTATATTTCTAGACGTACACAATCAATGTAAGGGCCAAACAGCCCATAACTGGAAGTGTGGCATGTTATATCATTAGATCATATGCCGAGAAATATTTTTTGTTTTATTATAATATATAATAGTCCTTGCATTTGATATAGCGCCTTTTCACGTCTTCTCGACGTCTCAAAGCGCTTCACAGAATAGACTGTAAAGTGAATTGACTGTATATTTGTGGGCAAAACGCAGCAGCCAATTGCACACAGCAGTGTCCCACAAACAGTCGTGGATTGAAGTGACCAAATTACTATTGTTTTTTTTCTTGAGGGATTATTATGTGTGTGTGTGATGTGTGTGTGATGTGTGCGTGTATGTGTGTGTGTGTACATGCGCGTGTGTGTGATGTGTGTGTGATGTGTGTGTGTGTGGTTGCGTGATGTGTGACGTGTGTGTTTGTGTGTTGTGTGTGTGTGTGCGATGTGTGCGTACGTATGGGTGTGTACATCCGCGCGTGTGTGATGTGTGCGTGATGTGTGCGCGCGTGTGTATATGTGCGTGCGTGTGCGCGCGCGCGCGCGTCTGTGCATGTGTGTGATGTGACAGCCCGACCAGCGATGGCGAGGTGACTGGTGTGGGTGGGGGGTGGGGGGGCGTGTGCGCATGCGTTGTGTGCGTTGCTTTGCGCGCGTCCAGCGGTCTCCATGGAGACGCGGGTGGGAGTGGGAGTGAGGGAAGGAAGGGCCGAGCGAGCGAGCGAGCGCGCGTCCATCGGTCTCCACGGAGACGAGAGCGCCGCTCCTGCCCCGCTTCGTCTGCGCAGGGCCGCTCTCGTTAGTGTTGGAGGACCAGCCGGTGGCTGACGGTTGAGGCTGAGGCTCGGCCCTTCGGTCCCTTTTTCCCGCTTCTCCCCTGTGTTTTTTTACATACCGTTACACGTAATTTATATACACATTTATATATATATATAGCGAGAGAGAGAGAGACTCTCCCACTCACCCCCTCGGTCACAGTTTGGTGGTGGTGGCGGTTGAGAGTATGTCCCGTCGGGGCCGCGCAGTGAGAGGCGGCGGAGCTCAGTGTGAGCAGATCCAGGAGGAACATGTCAGGCAGTGCGGACTGACAGGTCAGTGCTTTTATATATATATATATATATATATACACTGTGTGTGTGTGTGTATATATATATGTATTTTTTTGGGGGGAGGGGTTGGAGGTTAAAAAGTTTCACCGTCCCACAGCGCCCGAACAGGCGAGTCAGTGTTTGTACTCCCACCCGATCTCCCTCCCACTCCCTCTCTCCATCCTTCGCTCCCTCCCTCCCTCAATCCCTCCCTCTCTCCATCCCTCCCTCACTCCATCCCTCCCTCACTCCATCCTTCGCTCCCTCCCTCCCTCAATCCCTCCCTCTCTCTATCCCTCCCTCACTCCATCCCTCCCTCACTCCATCCTTCGCTCCCTCACTCCCTCCCTCTCTCCCTCCCTCCCTCCCTCCCTCACTCACTCACTCACTCACTCACTCACTCACTCACTCACTCACTCACTCCTCACTCACTCACTCACTCACTCACTCACTCACTCACTCACTCACTCACTCACTCCCTCCCTCCCTCCCTCACTCACTCACTCACTCACTCCCCTCTCTCTCCATCCCTCCCTCCCTCCCTCACTCCCTCCCTCTCTCCTTCCCTCCCTCCCTCCCTCCCTCCCTCCCTCACTCACTCCCTCTCTCCATCCTTCGCTCCCTCCCTCCCTCCCTCCCTCCTCCTCCTCCCCCACCCCATTCCTTCTCAAAAGCCTCACCCCCACTCCTCCCCACCCCCCCCCAGTCTCCCCCAAGCGTCTCCCCTTCATAATTCCCCTTCACAGCTTTAACCCTCCCACTCCCTATCCCCCCCCCCCCCCCCCTCCTCCACTCCACTCCACTCCACTCACCTCCCCTCCCTCCTTCCTCGGCTTCTCCACATCATACAATTATAATCAACATAATTATCAAATGCAAAGAATTATTATTATTATAGTTATCCCCGTCCACAGCTTCATCTCTCCACTTCCAAGCCTCCCTCTCCCTTCCTGGACTCCTTCTCCCCCGGACTCCTCCCCTCCCCCCCCCCCCCTCCCCTCCCTCTTATATATTAATTTAATTCAAGGCCGCACATTATTTTGCACACATGTTGCGGGCAAAGTAATAATAATAATAACCCTTACATTTGATACAGCGCCTCATCAAGTCTTCGGGGGTGGGGGTCTCGACGCGCTTCGTGAACTGACTGTATATTACACAGTTTATTCCTTTTAAGTAGCTGTTCATTCAAGGCATTCGAATGTTTTTGTATTCTCATATGGAAAATCAAGCAAATGGTGTTATTTTTGGTATTCATTTTCCCTTTTAGGTATAAAACTCCGTTCGTACCAACTAAATGGGTTAAATTGGCTGGCACAGTGCCACAGTGGCCAGCATGGCTGCATACTCGGGGACGAGATGGGACTTGGTAAAACTTGTCAGGTATGAACGATGTGTAGGAATGACATTTAAAATAATCTTCTGCTTTAGTTTGGGTACTCACTTTCACAGAGACTGAGCAGTGTTCGGCCTCTAGTTTGGGAAGTTAATAGTAAATATCTTTCTATTGTGGAAGTTATCAGAAACAATGATGGAACTCCAGTGAAGGTGAGTGTTTTTAGTTTTTAACCTCCAACCCCACCCCAAAGATATATATATACACACCTACACTGTTTGTGTGTATTTATGTATATATATATATATATGTATATATATAAATAAACACACAATCCTGTCAGTATTTCAGTGGGTACATACAACAACAACAACAAGATTCCATTTATAAAGCGCCTTTCACGTCAGGAGGACGTCCCAAGGCGCTGCACAGTTGGGTCATGACCCAACATTTAGTGTGATACTGAGCTGAAAGAGAAGACGGCTTGGGTTTTATTTCCCCGGACTCTTTTAGTTGATCTATACTTTGATCTATTACAGTTGACCTTTGTGCCAGAGTAGAAAAGTCAACTGGAATTCCTGTTTGCAATTGCTATCCACTGATCCTGCGCTGAATGGGTGTGGGTGGATATCACTTTGTTCCTCAGTTAGTATCCTTTCAATGCTACAATATAGTGATCTTGTTTCTCATCAATTGTACTATTCTCTACCACTATCTCTGTAAGGGTGGGCAGCCTCATGATATATGCAGCAATTTTACGTCAGTTTCCTCATACTGTACACAAGAGGGCACACGCAGTCCTGGAATCTCATGTCTGAAAATGTTTACTTAATGCTAAATTCTTTGCTTTCTCTGAAAATTTTATGAAGCTCACACATTTGTGCGTATTTCCCCAGTGCTGAATATGAACAGCGTACACTTTCAGTAAATAATAGTGGAATATTATTGTGAAACCTTTTTCTACTTTTTTTCAGTCCATATCTTTTCTCTTGTATCTAACTGGAAGGCAAAAAGACAAGGGTCCTTTCCTGATTCTGTGCCCACTGTCAGTTCTAGAAAATTGGAGGGAAGAACTGGAAGGGTAAGTACTTAATGTTATAATCTATAGTTGTTTTTGTGCATCCCTGACTCTTATTAACATTATTGCAAAATCACAAGAGATGTACAAATGAAGAATGCTTTTCGGTCCATTTGATCTCATTTCTCCAGAATACCGAGCCTTCGGTCTTTCCATTACACCATCAGCCTCTTTCTTCAATGTGTCCTCTGAATCAGTCTCTTCCTGTTCTTCAGAGGTCTGTTGCATTTGTGTTTGCGTAGGGAGATAAGAGGAAATAATCCTTCAGGCATTCCAAATGCCGACCAAAAACATCGGCGCATCCAAGATAAGGTGATTACCCGCAGAAGCCAAGGCCTAAGTTTCTAACTATAAACGTTCGTGGAATCAGAGAAATTTACAGTGCAGAAGGATGCCATTTGGTCCATTGAGTCTGCTCTATTATAATAATAATCCTTGCATTTGATACAGCATCTTATCACATTGTTGAGATGTCTCTACTCTCAGAGCAAGTTGTTCATTCAGTACCATTGTTCTGCCCCATCCCCTAACCCCTTCAGGCTTCTATTTTACGTATACCTCTCATTAGCACAATTCAGATTTGTTAGCTAAAGCATTGCAATGTTTTTTTCTTTTTCGTGATCTTTTCCCTTCATCCTCTCCAAGGCATTGGCTGTTGCTGGGCTCCCTCACCAAGTGGTCATTGTTTCATTTAACGATTGTACAATTGAATAATGTTTTTGAGGGGGAAGTTTAAAAACAGAGCTTTGTAAATTTGTACCTCTATGACCATGCCTAATGTCATGTCTCTCCCTCACCCACGAATGTCTGACACTGTCTCTGTAAAGTGCTTTGAGGCTTTACCCTTCAAGAAAGGTGCTGTATTAATGCAAGTTGTTTTCATCACAGAAGATGGGAAATTCTGTTTCTATGCTTCTATATTCCCTCTTGTCCAACAGTACAAGTGTTACACTTAAAGATAATATGCCGTATTTCATTGTTATAAATTTAGGGCTTGGTATCAATCGGTGTCTCAGTCAATGCCATTCCTGATTCAAAAGGTGCATGTAAGTGAGACTGGTTCAGATGTTTCCCAACACATTATGTAGTCTTTTTCTCTCCTTTCCCATAGATTGTCTTCAAATTGAGTAGTAACTAAACACAGATAATCCATTGTAGCTCTAATGTGCAACACCCTTACACTGGCTGTCGTTACATCTGTAGCATTTTTACTCCAAAGGTTTGCTCCACGGCTTTCAGTGGACATTTACGCAGGAGACAAAGACGCAAGGCAGGCTCTTCAACAAGACTTGAAAAATCGTGACAATTTCCATGTCCTTCTCTCTACTTATGAGGTATTCAGCAAGAATCAATAGAGATTTGTATATCTCACCAGTACTAGATAACAACCACTTGTATTTCTTTAACAACCCAAACCACTTGACAATAGAGATTGCAACATGGTCACACTTGTTTATCAGCTGAAAACCTGTAGTAGATTGCTGTAAAATCAAGTCTTCAACCTGTTTTGTCTACAATACATAGTTATTAAATTTAAATCCAATTCCATTTGAGTTTAATTCAGAGTCAGTATTTGGGTGGGACTTGATCTTACGGGAGCCCATTCTCACATATTGGGGTGATGTAGAGGGTAGGGTGTTAGAGAAAATGCTGCTTGCTTTGCGGGGGCAATAGCCATACAGCAGCTATGAGAGCAGTGTATGTTGCTTTTGAAAAGTAACCATTCTTTAGTGTACAATCTAGCCAGCATATATACATATTTAAAAGTGGGCTGGAATGTTGCCTTGGCCATTTGCATTTACATGATAATATATCAATTGACAACCTTTCTTTTTATTGTTTGCTTCAGATCTGCTTGAAGGATGCATCGTTTCTGAGTAGGTGAGTTTGCGAAAGGGATTTAAAGCTGTAGTGTTAGGATTTTCAGCTGAGTCTGGAGGCCTTCTGGAAATAGTGGAGTGGAAGCAAGTCAAGCTGGAGAGACCAGGAATCGGAGTTTGAGAACCTGACAGCTAACCAATACAACAGTTGATACTTATATTGTGCTTTTTGTGGGCGAGAAAGTTTCATAGTACTTCACAGATAGAGCGAGAGCCTAAGCTGAATACAATACAAAACTGTATTTGTAAAACGCCTGTCACATCGGGAGGATGTCCTGAGGTCCTGGACAGTCAAGGATTTGGACCTGGGGTGGGGTGGTGTTGGGATCAGGAAGGGTGGACGGCATGGAGGGTACAAGGGTGGACAAAGGCGCGGTTGAAGAGGAGGGTCTTGAGACATGCCTTTAAGGAGGCAAAGGGCAAGGGAGGGAGCGTGGTAAAGGGAATATGAGATGGAATTCCAAAAGATGAGGGAGAGAGGCTGAAGGCCCGGTGGGGCGGGTCGAGTGGGGACGTGAAGCAGGAGCCTGAAGCGGATAGGTTAATATGGGGTTAGCAGTGTGGGAGATAACAACAACAAATTTACGTTTATATAGCACCTTTTACGTTGGTTGGATGTCCCAGGGTGCTGGACCATCCAGGATTTCAAACTTGGAAATCTGCAACATTTTCGGAAAAAGCATTTTTTTTAACAAAAATAGAAAGGACTTTGTAAATGTAACTTGATCATCAACTGAACTTGGATTTTATTCTAGGTTTAGTTGGAGTGTTTTGATTGTGGATGAGGCCCACAGATTGAAGAATAAGAACTCTTTGCTGTATAAGACCCTCAAAACAGTAAGTACTTTTTACACTGTAAGCATTGTGTATTCCCTTGGGGGCGAAATAAGTGGGGGGGGTTCTCCTTGGAGCTGACCTGGCTTCAAGGTGATATGCTTGGCAGCAGAATGTCAGAATCTAGTCAACCCTCTGTGGTGGTCTTGGTAGTCTGGATCCTGAGCCAGTTGAGCCGCAGGACTCCAAGGCACTGCCAATGACAGCCAGCCATTCTGGATCATTGGTAGAACTTGGAGGGACAGATTGGGAGCAGGGATTCCTCCCTTTCAGCTCCTGTTAACCCCGTGATCCCAAATCCTCATGGTTATACTGGATGAGCTTGTACTGGCTGGGCAAGTAACCTTGTCAGTTTCATGTTTGGAACTCTGTCTGGTGTGGATATTCATAAACTTGGTGGGTTTTCATATGTGTCAGAAACTTGGCAAACACCCCCAAAAATTAACCAGACATCAATAAGCTTCTTAGTAACTGTCTTAACCTAAAGACAGATGATATACAATTTGATGCAGAGGTTGGGAATTATCAGTCTTAATTTGGAATCCAATCTTAAAATAATGATTTTAAGACTATGAGAATGGGGGAAAAGGAGTGTAATCAAATATAATACTATCAATAATAATAAAAATAATCCTTGCCTTATCACATTGTTGAGACATCTCAAAGCACTTCACAGAATATATTGTAAAGTGGATTGACTGTATGTTGTGGGTGAAATATATTACAAGCTACAGTTATTTATATACAAAAATAAAACATATATCTAAAACTGTGATCCTTCAGTGCTATGGCTTAAAAAAAAGGAAGAATCTAGAATCAAAAGTACATTGAACTACGAACTAGCTGCAGACAAGCACAAAACCTTTTCCACTCTAAATTACCCCCCAAAAAATGCAATGTTTGGCGCCTCGTCAATCTGTCTAATTGGATTGTGCTACTTTATACCTTTGCTTTTTATCAACAATTATTGATGTTGCAGTTTTCAGTGGGATTCATGCTGCTATTAACAGGAACACCAGTGCAGAACAACCTTTATGAGCTATACTCTCTGCTGAGCTTTGTGGATCCTGATGTATTTCCAGAAGATGAGGTTGATAACTTTGTGAATAATTACAGCAATTTAGAGGAGAACACAGAACAAGGTAAGCACCCAATTTGTTGTCAGTGGCATTTACAGTTTACCAATTGCACAAAGCCGTGTTTGCTCACGAAACACAAAGTCACCGCACTTACAGTATATTCTGTGAAGCAGTTTGAGATGTCCCTCCTGACGTGAAAGGTGCTGTACAAAATGTAAGGATTATTATATATTGTAGTGAGGAAGCTTGCAATCTGCTCTTGCTGCGCTCTGAATCAACAGAAAGAGTGGTGCAGTGATGGAACTCCTGCCATACCCACTCGACTGCTCTCCCATATACACAAACCCATCATTCATTCTGAGGAAGACTCTCTTCCACCTCTATAACACTGCAAAATTTTTGATTTTGCTTTTTTTTCCATTTGTTGTTTGCTTAGAGTAATATGTCTCTCGTCTGCTTCAGAATAAATCTTAGGCCACTTCTTCATCCATCATGTATTTTCTTGCTTCCCTTCACTAGTAGCCAGAAGTTTGTTTCAAAGCTTAATTTTCCAGTTACTTTTCACTTTGAAATGGCTGTTCAGTTGAAAGCTATATTTTATATGTAATAAAATTTGAATCATAGATAACATCATGAACCTACCCCAAAGTAGAAAGGAAAGAAGCAATCCTTTTGTAAAGAAATTAGAAGATGAAAAGCAACAGAAAATTTCACCTAAATTTCCCCCTTTAAAGATTAGAAATAATTTTGTATTATGTCAGCATTGTGATTTATTTAGGTACCAATACTATTGTTCTCTCACCCTAGCTAAAGAATTGCACAGTCTAATGCAACCTTTCCTGTTGAGAAGAATCAAGACAGATGTTGCTACTGAGCTACCTAAAAAGATGGAGGTTGTTTTATATCATGGCCTGTCTTCACTCCAGAAAAAATATTATAAAGCTCTTCTGATGAAGGATCTGGGTGAGTACATAACACCAATAACTTGCATTTACATAGTGCTCTTCACGTGGGGTAACATTCTGGAGCCCTAGACAGTAGTGGAGTCTGATCCCGAGCCAGGGAGAGAGAGAGGGGGAAGGTGACGGTAAGCACGATTAAAAAGGAAGGTCTTTAGGCGGGATTTGAAAGTGGAGCGAGAGCTCCAGAGTTTCGGAGTGTAGTGGTCGAAGGCATGGTCACCGATGGAGGAGCGGAGGGGATGAGCGATGAACAGGATGCTGGATCCAGTCGAATGGAGGCAGCGCGTGGGGCAGTGGGGGGTAAGCAAATCAGATAGGTAGGGAGATGCGATGGCATGAAGGGATTTGAAATTGAGTGACAGGATCTTGAAATTAATCCAGTGGAGCCTGGCAACGTCTGGTGTGATGGGGGTACGGTGTTTTGTGCGGCTGAGAATCCGGGCGGTGGAATTCTGAATTAGTTGAATTTTATGTATGGTGGAGCTGGGGAGGCCAACGAGGAGGGCATTGGAATAGTCCAGCCGAGAAAGTGACAAAGGCGTGGGCGGGAGTTTTGGCTGCTTTTGTTGTGAGGTATGAACGGAGACGGGCAAATACATAGGTATTTGTGAACCGTAGATGTATATTTATCTTTTTATTTGTATATTTATATTTTATATCTTTTTATATTTTTATTTGTGCGTTTCGCTCACAAATATACAGTCAATTCACTTTACAGAATATTCTGTGATGATCTCTGAGACGTCTAGAAGACGTGAAAAGCGCTATATCAAATGCAAGGACTATTATTATTATTATCAATTTATCACTGTATATTGAATTGCTGAACAGATCCAGAAGTATTGAAAGCACAATTTAGGCGTGAAATATATTTTATATAATGTCAATATTTTAATTGAGAAACCAAGGTCAAAGTGCTGTGCACAGTCGAGGTTGAAAAGAATCCTCAAGTTTCAAATGTGTCAGAAGAGGGAGCATTTGAAGCCCTAAGATATGAGTTAAAATAGGAAATGATTTTGGATTTCACCAGTTTGGAAAAAAAGCACACAGGCAGAATTGTTGGATCTCAGGAACAGTTTCCTAGAACAGTTTCATAGTCAGGATGATAAAATAGAGACTGAGATAGGCAGTAAGGAAAAAGAGGATAAAGGCAAAAATTTGGAAAGGTGTTACAAGATTCTCGTCAGACATCCCTCCGTCACCCTTAATATTGCCTGTTTCCATTGGCGCCCTTTCCCCAGCAGATTGACTTAAAAATCCTCATTTTTACCCTCAAATCCCTTCATGGCTCTGTCCCACCCTGTCTGCGATCTCTGACCCCATCATCCTGGCTACTCCGTCTGGCTTGCTTTATGCTCCTTTTGCCTACTCCACCCCACCGTTAACAGGAGAGCTTCCAACCTCTGGAACTCTCTGGATCAATCCCCTCTCCCCCTGTCCTCTCTACTTCTAAGACTTTTCTAAAGATTGATCTCTTTGGCTGCCTTTATCTGTCTCCTCCCTAACCCCCTATTTGCCTCCTGGTTTGTTCTCCCACTCAGTTTTTGTAAAGCGCTTGGACATTCGCCACGTGAATAGTGCTATGTATCCCGTATAAAACTAAATTAATTCCTAATAATCCCAGGGCTGATTTTGTGCAGTGTACCTTTTGAGCCTGCACACACCCAACTATGAAAATGCAATATTCTTATGAAAGTATGTTTGTATTGTGCATCACACCCCTCACGTAGGTTTGCATTTAGCACATGATAATGTATGACTAACTACTTGTACCTCTTAAATATGTGTGAGTGTAAGCAATACATTGTACAATATGCTCCAGTTGAATAATAAAACCTGTTTGATTTAGTGTGTCTGTAAGTTTGCGTGTAAAGTTCACATATATAAAAGCTGAGTGTTACATCTATATTTTATTGCTCTTCTGTTGTCTTTCTGTACTGTGCGTTACACCATAAGTTTCTAACTATCAGTAGCCTAACTGTTACAGCTTTGATTCATAGGGCAAGCCCAAATCACTGGGTCAGCTATACCTTCCTTGGACTTCTGTGGATCTGGGTTGTTTCCTTGGAACCATTTCAGCTCATCTTCCCCACCCCCAGCTTAACCTCAAAAATGTGAAGGCTTAAGTGTGGTCCCAAGTCTACTGTTCGATTACACAAGCTTACCAGCAGTATTATAATTGCCATAACCACTCGTGAGCTTTTTTTAAATTTGTTTGCGTAGCAGTAAATGAGAATTCAATGGACTGGCTTCTTGCTTGATTCTGGATGCTAAACTTGATATCCAATCAGAAAATTCAACCTAGCCACTGCAGTTCTGTGTATTGGGTGCTTCCCGCTCAGTATCTAAGACAGCTCCCAGTGATGAACAACAACAACAACAACAAGCCTTTTCTGTGGAATTCCTGGGCATTCAACAGTTGATGTTACATCTCATAATAAAACATGACAGATTAAAGAAAGGTATTTGCAGGGTGACCTGGTCATCGAGTGGTTGATGCCTTGTGTTACGACACAGTGATGAGAAAGACAAACATGAGAACCACAAGAGAACAAAGATCTGAAATGGTGAAGTATAGCATGCATTGTTATTGCATCTGTGACTCATATGAGATGTGTTCCAGCAGAAATGATTACCATTGGCTGACATTGAAATTGGCTTTGACTCCATTTCAAGTAGTGATCAGTTAGTCTTGGGTAAATAGCCCAGGCTTCAGTTCATTCCATCGCCTTTTCAAATCTGATTTCACAGACTCTGGAGCGAAGATGCAGTTAATACTCTGATATGAAAGATCCCATATCTGAGTTTTGGAAAGATTGAAAGTTGAGGCTGTTATCTGATATTCTAGAGACAGGTCTGTTCCAAAAACACCTTTGTCATCAGTCTAGGAAAAAAAGAAGCAACTTTACAGACTGGAAGAACTTTACACACCTCGGAATAACTTTCAATAAGACAATTTGCGTAAGCAACACATATATAAGTGAATTTTGTTTAATGAAATTTCGATGTATATATTTGGAAAATATACTTCTTTCCTCCTCTTGTGACATTTGGAGTCCTGTAGCTCAGTGGTTAGAGCACTGGCTTTGCAAGCGAGAGCTCTGAGTTCAATTCCAGGCAGAGGGCGAAACCTTGGGCAAGTTTCCTTACGCCACACGCCTAATAATAATCCCTCCAAAACCAAAAACAATAATAAAAATTGGTCATTTTCAATCTACGACTGTTTGTGGGATATTGCTGTGTGCAATTGGCTGCCGCGTTTGCCCACAAATATACAGTCAATTCACTTTACAGTGTGTTCTGTGAAGCGCTTTGGGACGTGAAAAGCGTCAAATGCAAGGATTATTATTATCAAATGCAAGGATTATTATTATTATTCTTTATTATTATTTGTTATTCCTACACTTAGTAGCAAGATATATTTAAGTAACCTTTGCAATCACACTTTGTAATGTAAAAGAAATGCACTCACACAAACCACACAGGGATGGCCTAGGTTGTACCAATAGTGGAAATGGTGTTGATCATATGAAGAAATAGTCTGACTTTTGACATTTGAGGAGAAGCATAGTTCTAGGGAACAGAATAATGTGGTAAGGTGGCAATATATTTAACAACAACAACTTGCATTTAAGTCACGCTCTTCACACAGGATAATGTGCTAAAGTACATGTTTTCTTTGCTCTTACCTAACATCTAAGAAAGAAAATAAATCCACAAGAATATTTTATGATTCACATATAAATGTGAAAACATTCTTGTTCTATTCTATTTTTCCTTCCCTTTGGGGTTTCCCAAGCAGTTGGCCTGCTGCTATAATTTTGATCAATGCAGTTTTGAAACAGGTCAATAAGGACGTTTGGGAAAGAGATCCAGATAGATTGTCCCTTGAAATATTTTCTAGGAATTCATGATGTGGAATATTGCTGCTTCAAACTCGCATCTACCCACAAAATATTTTGCCCAGAAAATATACGCTCAGGGAGGATGAAGGGAAGGGATGGGAAGGGGGGATGACCGATGGCGTGGTCAAAGAGGAGGATTTTGAGGCAGGACTTGAAGGAGGCTAAGGAGGGGGCGAGGTGGAGTGATTGGGGGATGGAATTCCAGAGGTTGGGGGCAGAGTGGCTGAAGGCTCTCCCGCCAATGGTGGGACGGGTGGGTCGGGGGACGTGGAGCAGGACAGAGCCAGCTGAGCGGAGGGAGCGGGCGGCTTGATAGGGGGTTAGGAGGTTGCAGAGGTAAGGTGGGGCAAGGGTTTTGTAGATGAGGACCAGGATCTTGAACTGATCCTCTGAAGGATAGGGAGCCAATAGAGTTGGGCGAGAATGGGGGAGATGGGGTCACAGGGTTTGGTACGATGTATCCTGTGAAGAGCTTTGTGATGTCTTGAAGACGTGATAAGGAACTATATCAAATGCAAGCATTATTATGCTACCACTGGGGAGACAGCTTGTTAGCATACCAACATTTGGTGAATTCTACTAAAAAGAACTTAATAAAATTGTGTACTCAAGTCCAGTACTATAATTGTCAAAAATATCTGACAGTATTTGTAAATATTCCAACCTCCATTTATTCCTCTTTTGTACCACCTTGAATATGTAGAGTGACATTACCCAGAGGTATTCGATATTTCTTAACCGTATCAACCAAGCGTTGTGAGCCTCCGACCTCTGGGTGCAAAAAGGTACCGTGACCAATCCTGTCTGGAGGAATACTGAGCAGCATCTCAGACTCTTCATTTTGGTTGGGGATCTTAACATACAATTCAAAACAATTTTGTATTAATACTTTTAAAATTTACATAACTTGGTCATTTGCAATGGGCAACGACCGCCGTGTTGATTTTAAAAATAAGCTTGGGTATAAGATTAGCCAAAACTTCACAATTACTACAACCGAAAACCTAAAGAGTCATAATTTTAAGAATAAACAGGCATTTAATTTCAGGACATATTTTAAAATGGGTATTGCCAAATAGCCCTCCAGATTTATAAATTCCTTACCTCAGCCAGGTGCAGGGCAAGCTTAAGACCTAGGTTTCTGCCTGCTTGAAGTGGCGCAATGAAATTTTTACCGTCTCCAACCTTAAAGAAAAGAAACATATATTGAGGATTAATCATATAACCAGCATTTAACATGAAGTAAATAACCCTCAGCACTCACAATATCTAACAAGAATTTTCATATAATGTCGTGGGATTTTTAATGTCCACCAGAGCAAGCAGATTGAAACTCAGTTTAACTTCTTATCCAAAATGATAGCACCACTGAGCTCAAGATTTAGATTTTGAACCTTTACCCTTTGATATAGAGATGATAATAATAATAATAATAATCCTTGATTTGATATAGCGCTTTTCACGTCTTCTAGTGAGATGAGAGTGTTACAACCGAGCCAGGCTGCAGAATAATAATAATAATCCTTGTATAGCGCCTTATGTCTTCTAGACGTCTCAAAGCGCTTCACAGAATACACTGTAAATTGAATTGACTGTATGTTTTGTGGGTGAAACGCGGCAGCTAATTGCGCACAGCAGTTTTCCACAAGCAGTCGTGGATTAAGTGACCCAATTTTTTAAAAAAAGGAATTATTACCCCCGGAAAAGCAATCCACCAATTGACTAACAAACAGGTTCCTACTTACTACTAGGTAAATAGAGGCGTGTGGAGTACGGAAACTTGCCCAATGTTTCGATCTGCCCAGGAATCTAACCCAGTTTCACTCGAGCGCTCTAACCTCTAAGCTACAGGACTCCACTCTCATCAGTTGAATACATTCAATTGATGGCCATATTAGTTTGGTGTTCATGTTCAGGGAGTAGGAGCAAACAAGTAACTTGTTGAACAAGACAAAACATTGCAACCTACATTTCAGAATTTAGGATTGAATTCCAAGAAAATTATATACTCACAGCAGGATTTCCACTTAGGTCAAGACCAACCACGACACCATCACTGGACCTAAAAAATTCTTCTGCAAGTTTTACAGTTTCCATAGCAATGGTCGGCCCATTCCTTCTATCTATGGCCAGTAGAAATCTAGGAAAATATAGAAATGAAAGGTTTTTTTTCACCCACCATCATTTTATTTAACTGTGACATAGGAGTCAAAAGCTGTATTTTCATCTAACATCGTGTAACATATCCTTAGATACTTAGTATCTGAAATGGAAAAAAGTCAGTTTGCTGGAATAGTGTGAAGATCTTGGCATTTGCTGTTAACAATGTATAAATCAACGAATAGTTAATTAAAGCCGGTCTTATTTGAAGCAGGACACATCTGTTCTGAAAACGTGCTCACTTCTATGAACGTACAAAGAACCTTGAATGTCATTGGCCTCGTTTCACATCTTTTCCAGTTAATCATTTCAGTGGTGCAGGGCTAAACATTGCTAACCAGTTGTCAGAGGAAAAAAATTCCAACAGTGTTTTCATACCTTACATCAATGTCCACACCTTCGTTCTTGCACTGCTTAATGGCCTCAAGTACAGAGCTAACATAGGATTTCTTCGTCATGCCTGAGTGAAGGAAAGGAACACTATTAGAAGCATAACAGCAGAGTTCAGTTTTCCACTATTTTTACTTCATATTTTATACCCCCCTCACTCTCAATGATGCCACCTACTCTGCTTCCTCCTTCATCTTGGATAGTGTAGTCTACGGTCTTCTCAATTTCAAATTTACAGTACAATTATATTCGTATGGTACCTTTCACATCGGGAGGATGTCTCAAAGTGCTTCACAATGTTGGATGGGCACCCTAGCTGTGTGTGTGTGTGTGTGTGGTGGAGGAGGGGAAAGATGACTGAAAGTGCAATCAAAGAGGTATATTTTGAGATGTGCCTTGAAAAATTAGAAGGGAGGGAGCAAATCGGAGGGACTCAGGGGTAGAATTCCAGAGAACTGGGGCAGAAAATAGTGAACCTTAAGCATTGCCCGAATCAGGTGACAATTGAGCCATTTTAAATTGCTTAATTGTAAATCACTGTCCCATTTTTTTTGTCAAGTTTGAACACACTTTTTTTTTGCTGGCGATATTTAAAAGGCGTTGTAATAATCCTAAAGCAATAGGATTCAGTTAGGCGGGCACCGTGTTGGATACCCTTTACGAAGACATGACAAATTAACTGGGAACCAATGAAAGGGGATCAGGAAGCATAAATCAGATTACAGGGGAACTAACTGAAGGGGTTTTGGTTGTTGTGTCGGATTGTGTTTTGAGAGCAGAGAATAAAATAGTGATTTCAACATTTGATTTGGGAGAACATAACAACTGGAGTTTCAAGACTGAAAGTTAAAACTTTAAAGCTTTATTTTCATATGTGATTTATAATAAAAATGTTCCCATCTTGGCACGTGGTTGAGGCAAACAGTCAGATTTGAAGAGACATTCGTTGAATAAGAATTTTCACTTTCTTTTGATTGTGCACACTAACTTGTTTTTGATTCCTTGTATGTAATCTGTATGTAAAGGGCAAGGTAGGCAGCTGGGCTGACTTGTCATGACAAGCATTGTGATCCGGCCGATCGAGTAAAAAGATGGTAGTGATATAGGAGATCCAGAACATGCATCACACAACGGCATCATATAAACAATATCACTACAATAATAACTAGACCACGATAACTAACCTTGAGACAATCACATGAACCTATATTACCTGTACTCTTCTCCTCCCTCGGAGTGCTGCGTAGCTCAATGTACTTCACACCATCAGCAGCAAATTCCTTAACAACATCTTTTGTCACCTGAGGACAGGAAAACACAATTTTACAAAAGAGAAATTTACTTTATTTTGCCTCCCGCTCTGCCATATTTACAAAGTGAATTACTGTTTAGGGCTTAAGAAGCCTGGGCAGATATCACCCACCCCATCCTCTGGGCAATGATTAATAGATACGTTTCAGGTTTCTCCATGTTTGAACAGCATGCTGGTACTCATTGCTTTTAACTCATATGTGAAGAATGGTCACTTAGGCAAGTTAATAGAGGGCTGTCATGTCCCTGTGCACCGTATAAGAACAACTTCTGTTTACGTAGAATAAAATAAACATTTCAAAGCGCATCAAAAAGTGAGCTAGGTGCATCTGTCACTCGAGGGAGAGACAGTGTAAATTACATTCCAGACACGGAGAGCCAGCGCAGATGTAATTAGCTGAATGACCTCCTCCTGCACTGTAGATTTCTATGAAAACCTGCTGACTGAACTCCGTGCAAAGATATTTTCACTCAAAGCAAATGAAAATGTAGAGCAAAAGCAATTTACCACAAAAATGTCTTCGTCACTGACAGTTAGTTGATGGATTATTTTAAACATTTCAAAGCATCTGCGTAAGAAAAACACATAATGAGCAAACGTCAACAAAATGATTTTTGCTTTTCATAGTTTTTATTTTACTCCCTAACCTCTACTTTGGTTCCTGTTTTCATCAACACAAGCTTAGTGCTTTTAATATGTTGTTAGGCAATAAATGCCAGCACGGAACATTTACATGTTAACTAATTGGAATTGAGATTCAAATAAATGCCCCCAATGTGAATGTTGCTGGGTAGATGTTAATTATAATATATAATATAAGGTTTGGGTATTATGCAACATTGCTGAATGATAAGCAGGCCTAAGATGTGATAGGATGTACATTTATGCCTATATTTCCCTGAACAATGATATTTTTATCTATACAGGGAGAGTTGCTGCACAGCGGGTATACTTGTTTTAACATCGAGAAAGAAAGAAAATCTGAAGGGTCAATGTGTGTCCTTAAGCACCACTGGTCACAGGGAAGGCAGGAGTTTTAAGTGGGAATTAAGCAGATAAACATATGCAGATAAAGTCAACAATACAGCCAAAACAATAACAATTCTACATTTATATAGCTTTTCACATGGCCAGGACATCTCAAGGCAACAACAACCACAACAAGATTCCATTTATAGAGAGCCTTTCACGTCGGGAGGACGTCCCAAGGCGCTGTACAGTTGGGTCAGGACCCGAGCAGGGGGGAAATAGTCAGGGTGAGGGGAGGGAAGGGAGGGAGCGAGGAGGGGGTAGAGAGTTGAGAGCGGAGCTGAAGGCACTTCACAGAACTGACTGGGAGCCTGAGCTGAAAATGTTTTCCGGCTTATTGGTAACTTAACACATGCTATAAGATTCCATTGCTACAGTTCCATACTCCTCTAAAGTCCTTTTTTGTCCCCTGCTGATCACAGTCATGTTATGCTGGTCACTGAGGTGTGGTTTCTTTGTTATCAGCTTTTCTGTGGTAGTACTGCTGATGGACCCATTTAGATGGGCATGAAGTTCCTAAACAGGAAGAAAAATGTTAATTTATTGCAGTATTTGCCCAGATTACATTACCACGCACCGTCACAAAACCAGCTCCGGAAAGGTCGGATCTCCAACAACAAATATACACACAGCATTTAACACTGAACTTTAATATTGAACTTTATTTCTTTCGGTTGGTTATTAACTTTTTCGCTAAGTAAAAATAACAACAACAAATTACATTTGTATAGCATCTTTCGCGTCAGGAGGATGTCCCAAGGCGCTGGAAGTACAACATGGCTAGCGATCAGATGATTGCTTCTTACCGACCCTGGTATCAATGGTCTTATGTAAAACAGTGTATTGGAATATGCTCTAAAAAAAATCACCTCCAAAACAATATACTTCAAAGTTGCAGCAGTTGATTGTATGATATTTAATTCATCTCCTTACCACTATAACCATTTTGCTAGTTTATATAGCTCACAATCCTCCCTCTAGACAAAAGTTTTGAAGGGCAAAATGTCCAATTGTGCTATCGGTCTTTGTCATACAGGAATTTTTCATTTTTTTATACTTGCAACATACATTCAATGCAAACCATCTGTAATCTCTGTTGTAGTTTTGAGAATTAGACTGTCAACAACTAGATTTCTGAACTAATGTTTAATTTTCAAAATAAAAATAACTGATAGACTGGCTAGATATTTAACCAGAGAGAATTGTGTTGCTTGTTGATTTCAATAATAAACATATTTTAAAACCAGTGCAGGGCAAAAAATACAAGACAGTAAAGTAGCTTTGTAAAATCTTTTGTTTTAAAGGAAGGTTCAATGGCTAATAATGTTTTCCATTGTGTTCCGTTTTTGAAATAAAAGTTTGAAACCATTGTGATTCATCTGGGCAACAACGAGATAAACTCAACTTTTTTAACACAAAAACGTAGCAAAACAATCTTATATTGTTTGTATGATTGTGTGAAATCCTGTAGCTCAGTGGTTAGAGCACTCACTTTGCAAGTGAGAGACCTGATTTCAACTCCAGGCAGAGGGCGAAACCTTGGGCAAGTTTCCTTACTCCACACAGAGCCTAATAATAATCCCTCCAAAAAAAATAAAACAATAATAAATTGGTCATTTTCAATCTACGACTGTTTGTGAGACATTGCTGTGCGCAATTGGCTGCCGCGTTCGCCCACAAATATACAGTCAATTCACTTTACAGTGTGTTCTGTGAAGCGCTTTGGGACATCCTCCCGCCGTGAAAAGCGCTATATCAAATGCAAGGATTATTATTATTATTATATTGCTCCTGTCTTCCATACCCCTAAATTGTATTCTTCACCAAAATGATACCTAACTCCCTTTTGACTTTGCTGACACAATGTGTTTGCACCCCCTTCCTGTGTGCCATATTCCAGATGATACCCCAAATTAAATTAGAAGAGCTTCATTTATTTCTGTTGGGCCTTCTGCCACTCTGCCTCCACCCTCTGGAACTCCATCCCACAGTCCCTCCGCCTCCGCCCTTGCCTCCCTTCAAGACCCATCTCAAGATCCTCCTCTTCGACCGTGCTTTCAATCTCCCTGCTTTCCCCTTGCCCTCCACCCTCGCTGACCCCCAGCTTGGATCCGAAACTGCCTGTCCAACGCCTTGGGACGTCCTCCCGACATGAAAAGCTCTATACAAATTTAATTTTATTATTGTTGTTGCCGTTCTTAACAAATTGTCGTGTTTAGAATATAAGGGGTGTGATTCAGGACTCAATTCCACCCGACAGAATCCTAGCTATATTTTAGCATGTGTTTGGTGTCCAAACACTATTTCCTCCACAAAGCACACTGTGCCTCTGCAAAACTAAATCGAAATTTTGACATAACAATAATAATACTTACGGCGGCCTGTTGTCTCAAAGTTCTTAACGGGACATTATTTCAAGTCTATTTTTTTAGGCGAATCCAGTAGCCAATTTATACACAGCAATGTCCTTCAGACAGCCATTGCCCAGTATTTGGGGGGATTATTGGCCGGGTCACCGTGAGAATCTCCCTTCTCTTTTCAACCAGGAGGTTAAATGTTGGGTACAAAATCATATAATTATCAACAAAAAAAATTCTTCGGTGAGGGGAGGGGGAAGAACACTCACAACTTTAGGCAGATCTTTATAAAACTGTTCTGCCATGTGTTGGCCACGAAGTTGTTGTCAGGGATGCAGCTGTGGAAAATTGCTTCGACCTGTTCTGATAATTCTTGGGATTGTCAACTGTGAAGTATAAGGTAGAAAAGCAAATTAAAGCAAATAGCAAGTAAAGTCACCAGGCGATATTTCTAGGTGCCAAATAGGTGACCAGCAATTCTAATTCGACTGAATGAATGTTTTGAAGGAAGAAAACTTGATTTCTGATCCCCACTTTACTTATAATAATAATAATATTCCTTGCATTTGATATAGCGCTTTTCACGTCTTCTAGACATCCCAAAGCGCTTCACAGAACACACTGTAAAGTGAACAGACTGTATGTTTGTGGGCGAACGCGGCAGCCAATTGCGCACAGCAGTGTCCCGCAAACAGTCGTGGATTGAAAATGACCAATTTATTATTGTTTTGTTTTTTTGGAGGGATTATTATCAGGCGTGTGGAGTAAGGAAACTTGCCCAAGGTTTCACCCCGACCTGCCTGCAATTGAACTCGGGTCTCTCGCTTGCATGGCGAGCGCTCCAACCACTGAGCCACAGGACTCCACCACGCAATCACACATTCACGTGGCAAAACATTATTTTTTTAAAAAAAAAGAAAAATAAATAAAATCCTTTTGTGGCAAGGAGGGATTTCGGTAAGTTTGACAGCAATTGCAGCAGCACAAGGTGGGCCATTCCAGCTATGTCGTGTTAATCGAAATTCGGAATAAAATGAGAGATGGCCTTTCTGTGTGAGTGAGAGGAGGAGGAGGAGGAAATAATCCCAAGTTTTAAAGGCTGTTGTTTGCAACTGTGGCAACTCCACAGCTAAGGAGTTCTTGTTTGATCTGGGGGGGAGGGCAGGCTGTAAAAAATGCAGCCTTTCTTTTTTTTAAAAAAAAGGAAAGCGACAGAAACCTACTCCTGAAATGGAAGCGACAGAGAGAGAGAGAGAGAGAAAGAGAGTGCAAAGCAAAACCTGCCTCTAGAGGGGAAGGAAGGGTTAGCGTTGCTGTCCGGTTGCAACTGTTTCCTTCTCTTCCGTTTGCTTTTTTTTTCTCTGGCTTCGGGGATTGCAACTTGAGGTATTTTATTTACTCGGTGCGAACTTCTCTTGACGCTTTGCAAAAGGCACAGCTGAAGGTTTGCAAGTGAGCGAGCGAGCGAGTCAGTGAAAATGTCCAGAGTCCACAACCAGCGCTCCTGTGAATTAATGCTCCTGCAAAACCCTGTCAAGAGTCTCTGGAGTGGGAGGAAAAAAAACCACAACACTTTAATTCGGGTGGTGCCCTCTGCACTGGCGGATCGCCTGCCTGCAAGGGGACTGCAGGGAGAAGCAAACAAGAAGTCCAGCAGAGCAGTCAAGTCAAGTCAAGTCAGCAATTTTAGATCAAAAGAAGGTTGGTGGGAAGATCCCTTCACCATTGCAAAAAAAAATCCGACTGAGCTTTCAGCTGCCAAGAGGAAGTGAAATGAATTCTTGCTGGTGGAAAATGAGCTGAGAGTTGCTAGGTCTTGAGTTCTATGGTTTGGTTCAGCCCTTTCCCTCCCTTCCCTTAAGGATTCCCCCCCCCACACCCCCCCCACACCCCCCCTCCACCCCCCCACACACACACCCTTTCAAAATCTCCAGTTTCTTTCAAAAAAAAGCGTTTCATAAATAAATATTTCTTCTTCGAAAGAAAAGAAATCATGACGACGTCAAATGATTATATTATGACTTGCCTTCACCTTTCCTAAGGGAAGTATTCAATACATATATATTATATATATATATCATTTTAAAAAATCAATATTTTTAAATATAATTTTGACTGTAGGAACAGGAAAAGACCATTCAGCTCATTCAGCCTGTCGCGCATGTATTGCTTATGGTGCATGTTTCTCCCAGTTTCTCCCAGTGTCCTGGCCAACAATCCCCCAAATAATATAATATTATAATTATATAGGATATAAATCACAAATTAGCTGTCACGTTTGCCCACAGCTACTACACTTAACGGTAAATCCTGTTCAGCGCTTTGAGACGCCTTGACATGCAAGGCGCTGGATCAAATGCAAGGAATATCATGATCTTTTAATCCCATTTTCCTGCCTTTCCTCCATACCAATCAGCACCTTTCCTGAGTCAGTAAACACAGTTTAATTTCTCGTTGCTACGTTTTATCTTGATCAGACACAACAACAACTTGCATTTATATAGTGCCCTTCCCATAGAGCAGCGTCTTGGAGGTTTAACACAGTGATAAATATCACAGGCTCAGAATCGCATTAATAGGTGTCAGCCTGGTTCAGTTAGTAGCACTCTCGTCTCTGAAGCAGAAGGTTGTGGCTTCAAGTCTGACCTTGAGACTTTGATCTTATAGTCTGTGCTATAAGTACAGTACAGTACTCCAGTACAGTGCTGGGAGAAAGCTACATTGTCAAAGATGCATTCACGTCATGGTTGAATGTTGAACGCCTAATAATAATCCCTCCAAAACCAAAAACAATAATAAATTGGTCATTTTCAATCTACGACTGTTTGTGGGACATTGCTGTGCGCAATTGGCTGCCGCGTTCGCCCACAAATATACAGTCAATTCACTTTACAGTGTGTTCTGTGAAGCGCTTTGGGACGTCCTCCCGACGTGAAAAGCGCTATATCAAATGCAAGGATTATTATTATTATTATTATTATTACTGACCCGTTTCTTTCCTGCGAACGTTCTGTGATCCTATCTCACCAGGGACCAGTTTTGCGCGAACATATTTTAAGTGTAATTTTTATTCCAGATGCATTTGAAAACGAAATGGGTAAGAAAGCTCGGCTGATGAACATTTTAATCCAGCTAAGAAAATGCGTGAACCATCCGTACCTTTTTGATGGTGAGTGACTTCTCCACCGCGTTCTGTGCTTGTTTGCTTCCAACCCTAACATCAAATTGGTCAACGTGGAGTCCGTCAGCTTGTGGTTAGAGCACTCGCCTCGCAAGCGAGAGATTTGGGTTCGATTCCCGGCAGGGTGAAACCTTGGACAAGTTTCCTTACTCCACACGCCTGATAATAATCCATCAAGAAAAAAATAATAAATTGGTCACTTCAATCCACGACTGTTTGTGGGACACTGCTGTGCGCAATTGGCTGCCGTGTTTCGCCCACAATTATACAGTCAATTCACCCTACAGTATATTCTGTGAAACGCTTTGAGATGTCTAGAAGATGAGAAAGTGCTATATCAAATGCAAGGATTATTATTATTATAACAATCTTGCCATAATGCAACATGTTGGCCCACTAGCTAAGTACAACGAGAATTTCACATTTATAGAATGCCTTTGACATTGGGAGAATGTCTTGAAGCAGTTCACAGAGTTGACTGGGGGCTTGAGCTGGCGGAGGTGTAGGTATACCAATGAGTCAAACACATTAGGCTGCTGTGGCCCTACAAATACACTCCGTACACTTCACAGTGCATCAAATGACAAGGATTATTATTATTGAATTCACTTTACATCATTCAAAAATGATACATTTACGTCAACCTATGAAAGATATGAGGTAGGATTCTAATGCTGACTGTTATGAAACAAAATATTGAATTGTTTTATATTATTATAAACAAGTTTTTCTTGTTGAATTTTTTAAAGTAATAATAATCCTTGCATTTGGCATACAATCTCGTCCCTAGCTGGAATTTAACATGTGGTTTACTAGAATTAACTGAATATATTGTGGACAAACAAAACAAAAAGCTACTTCATTGCTACAAGGATGATTGCATTATAATAACCATATTTCAGTCCTCCTGTTTTGTGTCTGTTGGCTAGTGTGTATCTCTACTTTTTTTTTAGGTGTTGAACCAGAACCTTTTCAGATCGGAGAGCATCTTATGGAAGCAAGTGGGAAACTTTACTTGCTAGACAAATTACTGGGATTCCTGAAATCCAGGTCTGATTATTTTATTGAAGTCAGAGATTACAATGGATGGTTGTAAATATTCTCCAGTGCTGAGCTTAGATTGCGCTGAGATTGTTTAACTTTTTTTAGTGCGTCACTAGCAGGTGGATTGCATGGTAAAAATTAATTTTTTGTTGGTTATTAACATAAAATCCAATGCCTGACATTAGTCACATCAGACATCAGTCATATAATCTTGTATTTTACCAATGTGTGACTAACCAATGTAGCAGTCTTAATCTCAGCCAATTTCCTGCACTGGTTTAACCACTGGATTTTATGATATTCAACAAAATTCAGTAGTTTGCCAAGTTGCCTTGTAGTCTATAATTGCATTCATAATCAAAGGATGACAGTTGGCGAGATCTGCCTCCTAAAACCTAACCTCCATGTGAATGTTTTGTGGTGCTAAATTAGTAAAAGTGATTGAGGTGCACTGCAAGTTGTTCAGCCGCATTTGCGGTTCTTATATGCAATCTATTAGCATTCTTAAACGCAGATCTGTTTTCTGTGTGATGCATTTCTATTCACGGTTCATTTTGTAAAACACTTCACAACATTCCTTTTAACATGGTACAAAGGAAACTGTATAGGTGTAAGTTGTTCCATGAAACTGACATTGATTGACTCGCCTTTCATTTTTCATTCCCCCTGCGGCGGATATTTGACTGGCTCAGGTGTCTTGCATTCCCCCTTCCTGATCCTATAGCAAATTGAAATTATGAAGTTACTGAATTGGCATTGCAGTGCCTTAAATACTTTTGTATTATAGTTAAATGAGGAGGGAGCAAGGTGGCGGGATTGTGGCAAAGAGTACCAAAGCTTCAGAGAGTTGTGGCTGAACGTGTGGCCATCGATGGTGGAGCGGAGGGAACGAGGGATAGGGAAGATGGTAGGGTAGGTATTGTGGAAAGATAAGATCAAATGAGCTAAAAAGTCTTCTTCACCGAAACTTCTCTTGTGAATGGAACGCACAATTTATTATTGCTGGTAAGATGCACACATCCGTCTAGGATTATCCATCAGGAGTAGGGTACAAATGTCGAGGAGCCTGTAAAGGGAGAAAGAAATACAACTTAAATATTTTGCAATGTTTCCTTTCATACCGCAGAAACCACCGAGTGCTACTGTTTTCTCAGATGACTAGAATGCTAGATGTTCTGCAAGACTACATGGAATATAGAGGTAAAAGCCAGAAAAAGTTTCATCCGGTGTTTGCTTATCTTTCAAAGCCTTAGCCTGAAATACAGTCATAGCACTTTCACCTCTGAGTCAGTAGGTTTTGGGCCCAAGCTCCACGTTGGGACTTGGAATCACACAGTCAAAGCCGCCTTTTGCCCACAAAATACACAGTCAATCCACTTTACAGTATATCCTGTGAAGCGCTTTGAGACGTCTCAATGACATGAAAAGGCACTGTATCAAAAACAAGGATTATTGTTATAAAATTAGGAGAGATATTCAAGTGCTTTTTTCTTAATTCTCATTCACAGGATTCATGATCTAAGCACTCGTAAACCACATGTTAAATTCCAGGTAGAGAAGAGATGTTAAATCGGGAAATGGTTATGGTTTGAATTTCCACCTAATCTTAGCATCTAATATAATTTGTCTTAAAATTAAAAAGGCTATGCAGAATTGTGGAAAATTCTTAAATTAAATCTTAAATTGAAAGACAGCTTCTGCAGTTGGTAAAAGGCCCGGATTTTAAAAAAAATTAAAGAGAAAATGATCTTAATGGCTAAGGCTAGCTGGAATTTGGAGCCTTTAAATGTTAATTGAGAGGTAGCAAAATCTGAATTATTTTATGAGTTTGACTGTAGGTTTAAGTCTCCATGGGAATTGACTCTTCTTAGTCAACAACAAATGAGTGATTACTGTGTTTTCATTTTTATGAGTGCTTCACACAGCTTTGTTCTCCTTAAGGTTACAGTTACGAACGCTTGGATGGGTCAATACGTGGAGAAGAACGATTCCTTGCCATCAAAAATTTTAGTCAACAAGACGTTTTTGTGTTTCTTTTGAGCACTAGAGCAGGTAACAGAATATTTTGAATATATTCTCTCTGCTTCATCATGGAAAGATGTATCCATTTGATTGCTGTAGCTATTCATTTCAGCCCCTGAGGTCGATAGAATTTGCTGCGATTATAATTCCTTTTCTTCTTTAACGCTACTTTTCAAATTCTGCCAATCATAATCTTAAGTGACATAAAGTTATGCTATTGTAAATTAATTATTTGATAACCTCAGCGTCTGAGCTGAGTTGTTTTGGAGTACCTGGGAGGATGGCTGCAGGAAACTAGAGCAAAGGCTTTATTCCTGTGCCCATTTCTCTGACAAGTGCAACCCAAATATTGAGTTATCCAATCTCATCCAGGGTACGAGGGGAAATGCACCACAAGTGACCTCAACGCCCTGGGATGTTGGCAGGGAAACTCAGTCCAGATTCCTGCACCCAATCCATTGACATCCCCTGCTGGAACGTTCATTGTGTGGAAGGTTTTGGTTCAGTTATGATTTCTTCACGGTTGAATAACCTGCCATAACAAATTGCTCAAACTAATGAAGAATGGCCCTTATCCAAAGTATTGCAGGATGTGCTGAACACCAGCATGACTAGAAGAGAAGAGGATGAAATATTTGGAGAGCGAAAAAAAGCAAAGAGACATTTTTTGTCCAGCCCCACTCACCATGCCTTCCCCTTAATTCTATTTCTTTTACCCACCCCCCCCCCCCCACTTTCCTCCCGCCACAACACCTTACATTCTGTTTTCTCTCCTCTACTGAAGAGCTCACTCAGGATGGTGTACAGTGCTTCACCCATGTGGCCATTGTTCACTGTTAAGCCTGGACAATGGATGCCAACAGTCTGACATTATGATGGTTATTAAAGAGAGCTAAGCCCCATCTGTCCTTTTACCAACATGCACTCACACTGTCCAGCAGAGCCACTGGATAGCAACTAGGAACAGGAAAGCTGATTGAATTCCCTTTGTAGCTAATTCAACACAAACCGAAGGTTAAGATCAAACCTGGGACTTTGCAGCTCTGCACGTTTCAAGGAAACCCAAAGTTATTTGTTTCAATGGAATACAATAAAAAACAGGATAGTTTATTCATTTCATATCTTGCAATATATCAGTCGTTAGCTTTCTGAAATGCTAAATTGTGTTTTGGAAGCAGAAGGCTGAACTGCTTGTTGATACGTCTATGACTTATCTCTAAGTTTGTTTTGTGAACAGGTGGAGTTGGGATGAATCTAACAGCTGCTGATACAGTCATATTTGTGGACAGTGATTTTAATCCCCAAAATGACCTCCAGGCAGCAGCAAGAGCTCACAGGATCGGCCAAACAAAGTGAGATTAATTATATTTTGTACAATCTGTAGAGTACATCTGACGCATGTTGCATTTAAACAGGCTTCGAGACACTCCCACAAAGGATATGAATAGTAGGCACTTGGTGAGACACCAGGGAGGAGCCTGGTTCCATGGATTCATATCCCATTGAAAGGAAAAAAAAGAAATTGATCCTATTCAGGGGAGGTAAAAGGGAAAGAATTGATGAGAGAATAAAATCAACAGGTGAGGGGGTTTGAAGGATGTCTTCCCTTGAATTAATCACATAATTAATAAATCCTTTTCATTGGTTGTTTATTACATAATTGAGGCCACCCTTACTGTGGATTTACACAAATCCGCCTCATAAAATCATTTACACATGGCGCATAATAGATTCCTATAGTTCACCAACTCGAATTAAGCTAAAAAGTATCCTCCGGTTACTCCCTTTTAACATCATCCTGAAATAGCTAATGCAGTCTTTCGTTCCTTCCCAAACTAGAGAAGGTTTTCCAAACATATTTTTAAAAGAGATAGGAGTAAGTGTTGGAAGTTGAACCCAGAGATATCATTTAATGCAATGACTGTAGGATTAGTCTCAAATTCAGTGCCTTCAGTGCATGTAATGAATTTGTATTTGGCTAAGAGTTCGAGAATATTAGTACATTATGTGTATCACTTTAGGAATTGCAGAAGTCATTTCTCCCATCCCAAAGTAATGATTTTGTTTTGCTTTACAATATAAAGGCCAGTGAAAATTATTCGGCTGATTGGAAGAGATACAGTGGAAGAAATAATCTATGGCCGAGCTAAATCAAAGCTGAAACTGACGAACACTGTGATTGAAGGAGGTCAGTTTTCTCTAAAGGAAGGAGGAGAATCATCTGGGAATCCTGATATGCAGGTAAGAAACTGCTGACAGTACAGTTCATAGAGGGAGGGGACTGTAAATTTCACACAAGATCTTCAGTCACCAACTACAAGATGTGACATGGCTTTCACTTAGGGTCCACAGAAATGTCATCATACCAATATGCTCCATAAGGATGTATAAAATGCTCTGTCAGTCATGTTGTGGTTCTGTGTCCACTCCCAAAGGAAATAACTTGTGGTATAATGAAGTTTAACTATTGGTGGCGGCCTTAATGCGCCTTGCCCAAGTGACAATCTTTTTAAGTGAACCTGCACTGTGAATCTCAGCATTATGGAATCCTGTAGCTCACTGGTTAGAGCACTCGCCTTGCAAGAGAGAGACCTGAGTTCGATTCCCAGCAGGGTGAAATGTTAGGCAAGTTTCCTTACTCCACACGCCTCTGTTTACTTAGCAGTGAGTAGGAACAAGATTGTTAGTAGATTGGCAGATCACTTTTCCCATGATAAGAATTCCTTCAAAAAGAAAATAATAATAATAAATTGGTCACTCCAATCCACAATTTTTTTGTTGGACCCTGCTGTGCGCAATTGGCCGCTGTGTCTCGCCCACAAAATATACAGTCAATTCACTTTACAGTGTATTCTGTGAAGCACTTTGAGACATCTCAAAGACGTGATAAGGCGCTATATCAAATGCAAGGATTATTATTATTATCTTTGATCAAAGGAGGAAGGCTATGACAGCCAAAGACAATCCTGTCCTTATTCAATATAAACACATCACAAGTGCGCAGATCAGGAGTAGAAGCATGAACCCTGGCACATTTCCCTCTTTCCTTTCTCCAGCCTGGGATCTTGAGGCCAATTGAATTGGCCCATTCCCGCCCTAGTTGTGATCAGATCACTCAATACAGATTAGCGGTCGAATTTGGAACCTTCTTGCATTTCTGTATAACAACTTGCATTTGTATAGCGCCCTTCACGAAGGGCAATGTTTCAAGCCTTAAATTAGGTCAGTGTAGCTCACAATGTGTAGCTAGCTTTATTTGTTGAAGCAAGTTTGCTTTAAAACTATACATCTTACATTTTACTGCTGCCTGCATCAGTTTAGAATCACTTGAGCAAGTTTCAAAAAAGAATGCAAGGCTTATTTAAATTGGCAATCCCAGATATAGATTTTTAATACCTTTTGCCAAACATCTCCCACCTCTTATCTTTGATGGTTCCATTCCTGTTTCTTACATCTATTGACATTTGAGATCTCCCTCTCCTGTGATCTCACATCGTCATTGCTAAACCTTCTTCATTTTCTTCTGTTTCTGCTAAATAATTTTTGTCGTAAATTTGAACACTATGATGCTTTGTACAAGACTAGGACGCCCAAATCTGGGAAAGCTCTCCTAGAACCTCTCAGAATTGCACTGAAGGAAAACCTTGCTTCACAGGTTATCCTTTTTTCAGTAACAAAATTATTTAGTTTCATAAAGTTTAAGATTTCTTTTCTTCAATAAAATTGGAAGAACAAGGATTAGGCCATTTAGGTAGTCGAACCAGTTCTGCTGTTTTATTAGTCCTTTCAATTCCATTTCCCCAGTCTTTCTCTGTATCCCTTAATACCCTTACTTCCCAAATAATAATAATCCTTTCATTTGATATAGCGCCTTATCATGTCTTTGATCCATCTCAAAGTGCTTCACAGAATACACTGTAAAATGAAGTGACACTATATTTTGTGGGAAAAACGCGAGTAAATATCTATCTCTCGCCCATTCAGACATCCCAATTGAATCTGCGGCATTGGTCATTCTGACAAAAATACAGTAATACCACCAGGATGTAAAATATGAGATAATTAGTTAGTTTCGCTGCTGTGTTTAACAATTCAAAATGTTTTATGGTGAACAGCAATCATTTATTGTTTTGTGCTTCACCATCAGCTCAGTGATATCCTGAAGTTTGGGCTGGACAAACTTCTCTCTTCTGAAGAGAGCACTGTGGAAGAAATTGATCTGGAAAGCATCCTAGGAGAAACCAGGAAAGGAATATGGGTTGCTGATGACCAACCAATACCAACTGAAGAAGCATGCAAAGAGCCAGAGAGCACAAGTATGTGTTTGGACCTTGCACCAGTTAACATTGTTCAGCCTTTGCCGCCTTGCCTTGAATTTGAGTCTTCTGAATCTTGCACGAGTTTTAAACTTTTGTGTAATTGTTCCTCACACCCAGCCTTAGCTCTTCCCAATGTATTCAAGAGATTTGCAATTCCCCAACTGCAATTCATGTAATAACTGGGTTCATGAACACACTCTCCTAAAATCAGAGCTTGTATGCACCATGATTGCTCTACAGAGAAGTAAGCAACTAGTGAAATCATTGCTCAATGAGTAGGGAAGTGTGTCTGAGCTGTGGGCTGGAGGAAAGTGTCAATGCTTTCACATATTTCATGCTGAGTTGTGCTCTAATCTTCAGTCCTCTTCTCAAGACACTGAGTCCTGTTAACATACAGTTCCACTGGCACTGACACCTTTCTAATACCTCACCTGAGCGACAGCTCTTCATGTTTAAGAAGAGACTCTGAGTGCCCGGTGGCTACTCAACTCCAGGTCCCAATCCTGTCCTCGCCCAATGACCACACATTCATTATTCAACAGCGATTGTCAGATATTGATCAAGCATGGAACTGCAGTCTCCTAAGATTGGCCACTGAAATAACACACTAAGAAAGCCATATTATTACACTGTCATTCATTGCCATGATCTTCTCTCCTTTTAGCACACATGTACTTGTATGAGGGGAAGGATTATTCGAAAGGGCACACTTCAGCAGACCAGAACACTTTCAAACAACTTTTAGATATTTACAAAGTGATGCTTGAAGACACCAGTAAAGAAGGAAGATCACTCCGCAATAAATCCAAAGTAAGCCTGTTTACTTTACCCACTGTCTTATTTGGATATATTATATATGAGTTAGAAATGCATGTCAATGTTGACACTGTGATGCAAATTATTTTTAACTGTTATTACCTTTTGTCTGTAGAGCACCCATTGTCCTTTGATTCTGCTTGCTAGAAGCTACAGTTTTTAGCTGTCAGGTTACAATAATAATTCCTGATTTTCCATGTATTTCCTTTTCAGTGCTACATTTCTGCAATAAATATGAGCAATATGAAAGTGTTTGTTTTCGGGAGGGGGTGGGGGTTGTTAAGAGTTTGAAATCTTTCTTCACGTTCAAACCATGTTTTTGCAAGTAAGGTTTTGATTGTGACAACCATAGCCCAACATTTCACTTTGATCATAAAACCACCTGGTCATTTGAAGCCCATAATCTAAATGATCTTTTGATGATTAATTATAATCCTTGCATTTAATGTAGCGCCTTTCACATGGGGAAGACGTCTCAAAGCGCTTCACATGATATACTGTGAAAGTGTAGTAACTATATTTTGTAGGTAAAATTGTAGGATTAGCTTATAAATAAAGGAAGCCCTGGAAATTCTTAGTAAGCTTCTTTTTTTGGGTAGGGGGGNACAGGCAGGTGCAGTGTGTATGTATGTGTAACAGACAGTCAGTGCAGTGTACATGTGTCGTGTGAATTCAAAATTCCACATGTTTTTCAGAAAATGTCTGTCTGGTAAATATCTAGAAAGTCATTAAATATGCTTATGAAACAAGTCTTAGTAATCATCATTACAGCACGTATACACACATAAGAAAATGTGAGGAAAACAAGAATAACATTTCTTATTGTATTCCTTGACCAGTAGATCGGGTAGAGAGGGATTCCTTCTACCCGAAGTATTTCACTTCAAACTGAGGGAACGCCTCTCTGAAAATAGATCACTTCAGAGTAGAGTTCCTGTGGGTTTTTTGTGATATTTCACCCACAAAATGCACAGTCACTACACTTTGTATATCCTGTGAAGCGCTTTGGGACATCCTCCCGACGTGAAAGGCGCTACACAAATGTAATTTGTATTGTATTGTACGTTCCGCTTCTCTGGCTAAGGAATTCCATTGGTAATAGCTGCAAATTAGGCTCCATTGTTGGCAAGTTTCTGAAAGGGATGTACTGAAGCATTTGATTTTGTCCCACGCCTGTGCAGGTCCTTTTGACTGCTCCACTGAGCCTCAGCACCAGAAAGAAACGGGCATGGTCGCCCGAGGAACTTGAGCAGCGTCGGCAGAAACAGCAGGAGGCAGCAACCAAACGGGCAAAACTTGCGGAGGAAAGAAAGCAAAAGCGAGAAGAGGAGGAGCACAAGAAAAAGTAAGTCGTGGAGCCACAGGGTCTTGAATTTTCCCAACTCATGCTTTTAAACACGCGCTGTGCTATGCTGTTCACCCATCAGAATCCCTGTAATCCAATCTCAAATAAAATTCTTCCCTCAGACTGGCTTGGTGGGAATCCTGTAGCTACAGATCCCCTTGCCTTCCATCAACAGACAGTGGGAATGAGAGTGAATCAGAGGAGGAGGGAGATGAGCTTGCTGGAGATCTAGATGTCACAGATACAGAACAGACTTCAATTCACTATGTTATCGGTGATGTGACTCACCCAACAGCTGCTGTCACGGGGGATGCAATAGTAGTGCATTGTGTTGGTAAGTAGAACAAAATAAAATAGCATATATGGAATCTCCCTGCTAGTCCCAGTTATTCTTACAGCTATAAAGGATATCAAAAAGTTGCGGTGTGATGTGTTGATTAAACAGTGCCTCAACTGTCTGAAGCATGAGTGAGCCCGCAATCTATTGCACCACCAATCAGACATCTGTTTAATGCAGCACTTTGTTTGCGATGTTTTACTCACTGTTGCATTTGCTAGTAGTTGTTAAAAAGTGCTAATTTTATTCCCCAGTACCCCAGCCGTGTCTTGCATTAAGACATACAAACCAGAATGTTAGCCATTGCAAACCAAAATGCAATACAACAATACAAATTGACATTTATATAGTGCTTTCCACATCAAGAGGATGTTCCAAGGCACTGAAATTAGTTATAGATAGCAAAACATTGCCGGTGTGATAAGTAATATTAATAAATAAAAATAATAATTGTTGCATTTGAGGTAGTGCCTTATCACGTTGTTGAGACGTCTTAAAGCATTTCATGGGATTTTACTGCAAAGTATAGTAATGGTTGTGTATTTGTAGGCAAACACGGCAGCCAATTTGCACCGAGCAGTGTCACACAAATAACCATGAAGTGAACGACCAATTTTATTTGTGGGATGATCAGCCAAGAGATCGGGACAAACTCCCTTCTTTTTTGAGTAGTGCCATGTGAGCTTTAATGTCCATCTGAACAGAATGATGAATAACAGTATTTTCTTTTTGAAAAAAAGGGTTGTTTTAACCATTTAAACAGTGACTAAAACCGTCTTAATGCTTGAAGGAGCCTCATTACACTGGCATGTTTGGGTTTGATTCCCAGTTTGTCCTGTGGTCTGATCTCAATCAAAGAAACATTTGGGAAGTCAACGTTTGTCCTTATTGCTCCAAGGTCAGTGAGAGGAAAAAAGTCAGCAAAATCAGCCAAAATGCCCACTTTTGATTGCCAATCAGCGCTGCCTGATAACGAATAATGAATAACACATCAGTTGAGTAAGATACTGGAGGAGCCTGTGGGACTGTAGCCTTAGAGGAGTCAGCACGAGAGAGAATGAGGGAACATTTTAAAAACGTTTATGAAACCAGTTTGATCATTTGAAAAGATTCCCATTTAATTCAGCTTTTTTTGGGTGAATTTTGCACCCTATTTATATTTTGCAATGACCATTTTTCTTTTTTTCCAGACAACTCTGGTAGATGGGGAATAGGAGGCTTATTCACAGCTCTGGAGGCTAGATCTGATGAGCCACGAAAGCAGTATGAACGAGCAGGAAAGATGAAAGGTAAGAGTTGCTTTCATCCTCTGGCATAACTCTTTAACCGATGTAACCAATAGAGGACCCGGATTCGATTCCCAGGCAGGGCGAAACCTTCAGCAAGTTTCCTTACTCCACATTCCTCTGTTTATCTAGCAATAAGTAGGAGCCTGGCTGTTAGTCGACTGGTGGGTCGCTTTCCGGGGGCATTAATCTCTCGGAAAAAGAAAATTGGTCACTCAATCAACGACGGTTTGTGGGACATGGCTGTGGGCAATCGGCTGCTATATTTCACCCACAAAATACACAGTCAATTTACTTTCCAGTATATTCTATGAAGTGCTTTGAGACGTCTCAAGGATCCATCAAGAAACTTTAAGGTTCTACAGTGCTATCACATGAAAATGCTTTCTCTTTATTATCTGTACATTAGTTACAGGGAAGCCCAATCGTCATGCCCCTTGGTATAATCCTATCTTGCTTCGAGTGGCTTTGCTCCTTTCTATTCGCAGGAATCATTGCCGGTGTCACTTCCTGTGCGCATGCACGTAGTGTGCAGGAAGTGACTTCAGCAGTAGCTGACAACTTAAAAGTTGGCTAAAGCAGAGTTCACCTGTACTTGGGAGTACTCCACATGGCTTCACAAACCACTTCTAGTCTTGTGATGAATCAGGCCAACAAATGCTTTGGCATTGCTTGGTCTTAGGCAAATGTGTGGATTTGGCATCCCATGGGGTCAAGTTCGTCTCAGAATCAAGTCCATTGTACATTCAATGGCCTCATAGGCACAAACACTCCACAGTTTGCTGTGGGAAGCAGGGGAAGATCCAGAGAACCAAATTACTAACAGCTAACAGTTGAGTTTTATTCAAAACACTTGTAATCATGAAGTACATTTGTTTATTTTGTATGAATTATTTTCGGTTGCCTTTAGCAGTGTATACTTTAGAATATGTTTAGCTATTGCTGAAGTACAATTCTTTTTGACATCGCAGATCTTTCTCTGGGCAGTGTCCTTCTGTTTGCCATTGATGACAAAGAGTCTCGGAGTTTGGGGCAGGATATGGTATGTTGGAATAAGTTTGTGTTATTCTGAATTGCTTTGTGTAAATATTCTTGATGCCAGTTTGGCTCAGCTGGTAGTACTCTCACCTTTGATTATGCGTTCCAGCCCCACATCTAAGTTAATCCTCCAGTGTAATCCTGGGGAATGCTGTATTTATCGTAGGTGTCATCATTTTGATACATTATACCACCTGCCTGTTCAAGTGGACATAAAAGATCCCATGACAGTATTCGAAAAGAGAAGGGAGTTTCTACCTGGGAAGGGTGACCTGGGCAGCAATCCTTAGGATAAATTGGTCATTCACCTCATGGCTGTTTGTGATTGCTTGCTGGCACAAATGGCCTTAATATTTGCCAACAAAGCTAGTCATTACACTTGACATATTTGCAAGATTTTGAATGGTGATTATTGGGCAGTGGACGGACTGGTTTTCTTAGCCTGATAGATAGGAATGAGTTAAATATGATGCACACAATTAAAATTGCATGAATCTTCCGTTACTTCATTTCCCTCGCACTGTTGAGCTAAATAATGTCTCCCTAGACACTTTCATTGACTGTCAGTAGAAGTTTCTGTTTCAAATAAAATTATTTTCAAAGAAACAGGAATGGCATTGAGGAATGATTGTGACTGTTATTGTTTTGAAAAAAGGTACTGAAAGTAGAGCTAATTTGTTAGTCAAATTGCTATGTAAATCTGATCTTATGGTTGCAAACCTAGCAAGTAAAGAAATGTGTGATCAGCCAAAACATTATCAGTTTTGTTCATCTTTGTTTGAGTGTGTGAATGTAAAGTACATATTTTCTAGCTAGCAAAAGTCCAAAATTTTCATGGACCAAGTCTTAACGCTTTTGTCTTAACATTTTAAGATTTGTCTCCCAGCCAACAATCCCCCGGATATAATTAGTTATTCACTTCATGGCTGTTTGTGGGACATTGCTCTTCGTAAATTGGCTGCCATGTTCGCCCACAAATACACAGTCTCTACACTTCATAGTAAAATCCTGTGAAGTGCTTTGAGTCATCTCTGCAGCTTGATAAAGCACCATATCAAATGCAAGGATTATTATTTTCAATTATTACTATTACTCATCCAACCACAATTGTTGCTATCCATCTGGTTTATCAGGTGTCAGCACTTCCACACTTACCTAATCAGCTATTTTGCACGCCTGAGCACAGACATTGAATGTCAACAGGCTGTTGAACAAGAGAGGGAGTAATCCTGTTCTCAACTGCTATCTTATCCCCTTGTTTGCAAATCCATACAACCGGGTGCACACATTTCCCAGCAGTGATTACTGCAAGGCGATCAGGAGTACGGATTCTGTCCAATTTCACCACCGCCTCAGCTAAGATCAATATCTCAGGCAGCATAGATATTGGATCAATTTGGGACCTTCCTGTGGTGTTCAGTACAACCCTGTGCACTGTATGACCCAAAGAACCACGAAGAGAGCTCAAAATAACACTGATCATTAATCATTTTTTTCAAAAAAGTATGTTGAAAGAAAAAAAATGCATTTCATTGTTTATCTTTCAATCACTTCATCCCTCATTTTGTCTTTTGACAAGCTCCTATGGCCCTTAAAGGCTGTCTTCATTACTCACGCTCATGTTTCTCTTTTCTCACTCTTTTCCCATTCTATAATGATCCTGATCATGATAATAATAATAATAATCCTTGCATTTGATATAGCGCTTTTCACGTCGGGAGGACGTCCCAAAGCGCTTCACAGAACACACTGTAAAGTGAATTGACTGTATATTTGTGGGCGAACGCGGCAGTCAATTGAGCAGAGCAATGTCCCACAAACAGTCGTAGATTGAAAATGACCAATTTATTATTGTTTTTTGTTTTGGAGGGATTATTATTAGGCTCTGTGTGGAGTAAGGAAACTTGCCCAAGGTTCGCCCTCTGCCTGGAATTGAACTCAGGTCTCTCACTTGCAAAGCGAGTGCTCTAACCACTGAGCTACAGGACTCCACAGAGAAAAGATCTAAGCACCAAATAAGCACCAAATAATAACATTTGATGGTCACATGATGTTTGCAGATTGCAAGAGTGTATCTGTCCTACAGTTAAAAGTTAACCTCAATTAGACCACAGTTTTGCAATCTCAGTGTGCGCTGTCCAATACTCTATAATAATCCTTCACCTAATCATCCTTGCATTTGATATAGCACCTTATCATGTTGTCAAAAAGTCTTAAAGTGCTTCGCAGGGATTATTGTAAAGTGCTGTGACTGCATTTTGTGGGCGAATATGACAGGCAATTCGTGCACAGAAATGTCCCACAAACACCTATGGAGAGAATGACCAATTTTATTCAGAGATTATTGGCCGGGGCACTGGGAGAAACTCCCTTCTCTTGGGAGAAAGATCAAGAATGCTACTCTTGATTTCCTTATGTAGAAATGGTTCTTGTAAATATTGAAATACTCGATGGTGGCTTTATACAGAATACGTTTGATCAAAATAATCTTTTCTCAGTTGGCTTTAATAGTTGCCCAGCAACGGGATCGTTCCAACAATCTTTCAGGCATCAAATTGATGGCCTTGGAAGATGGATTGAAAAAGCTGTACATAGCAGCCAGGCAGAGAAATGGTACGTGTAACTTTGTTTTAAATGTTATTTTCTCATTCTTATAACTGCACCTTATAACTGCTGCGTGCAAATTGGCTGCGACATTTGCCTACAGATCAAGTTTAGATTTTCTCTAAGTCTACAGCAATCTGCAGTGGATATCTGTACATGCTGGTGTGCATTTGCATTGCAGTGAAGCTGTTGACATGTTTTACGTGTTGACTCCTTGCACTTATTTGGTGCTCAGATCTTTTGAATCCATTTCTCACATTTGTTTTATTTGCATATTTCTCTGTTTTCTCAGCAAGCGTTCACCTCCCTCGAATAGGACACGCAACCAAAGGATTTAACTGGTATGGCACCGAAAGGCTTATTCGGAAATATCTTGCATCAAGGAAGATACCGACCTACATGTATCCTTATTGCGGCTGAACGTTTGCAGAGTTGCAAAATGTCTGCACTTTATTAAGCACTTTAAATATACAGAGTTTCATTTTTCTGATTTTCACTTTTTTGAAAACACAAATTGTGAGTAGAGATCCTTTAGCACAAATCTCTGTAAACTGTGCCGGCCGCCAAAACAAACTACCATGTATGTGATACATTTTTGGGACAAGGACCAATGTAATGACTACAATCTGTCGTTTCGGATGAAATGTTAAACCGAGGTCCCATCTGCTTGTTCAGGTGGATGTTAAAGATCCCGTGGCCATATTCAAAAAGAGAAGGGAATTTCTCCCGGTTATCTTGGCCAACAGTTCCCCAAAGTAAAATTGGTCACTCACTCCATGGGTGTTTGTAGGTCACTGCTGCGTGCAAATTGGCTGCCACATTTGCCTACAGATATACAGTCACTACACTTTACAGTTAGAGCTGTCCTCCAACATGAAAGGTGCTATATTAAATACAAGGATTATTATTATTATCACAGAACAAAGTATTTATAAAATATTGTACTCTTTATTTAAACCAATTTAATCTTCACCAAAGATTCATGAAATTTCCTTTACAAAATATACCAGTTACTATTTCAAGAGACATATTGCCTCCTCGTCAGCTCATGGTTCCTCAGCATCTACCAGCAAAACCGCAATGAAGGAAGATAAGGATAGCAGAAAGAAGGCAGAGAGCTGCAGTCCACAACAGTCAGCAAAAGGTTCGGCTACTCTTCCAGATTTTATGTCGGGAGTGAGTGTTTACTTCTTCAACATATCGGAGTCAGAAAAGAAGAAGCTTAGTCGTTATTTAGTAACATATCCTTTTCCTGTGTACGGGATGAATACTCATATGGAACCACAGATATATTCCATATTTTCTAAGGTTTTTAGACGTCCAAATCAACACAGTCAGCATCGCCTGTAATAAAACTGAAGGCACCTTTTTCTCTGAAACTCTGTCCTTCTTCCTCTCCGTCTTACACTCTCTCCCAGTGCCCTGGCCAATAATATCTGTCTTTAAATTCTGCCTTAAACCTACCTCCTCGACTGTATTTATGGTTAGGGTCCCCCCCTCCCTTGGCAACTTGGCATCTGCCTCTGTCTTTAAGTGTTCTAGATGAAGGGTACTATACAAGTTGTATAGCTCAGTGTAGCTCAGTGGTTAGAGCACTCGCTTTGCAAGTGAGAGACCTGAGTTCAATTCCAGGCAGGGCGAAACCTTACTCCACACGCCTAATAATAATCCCTCCAAAAAAAAACAAAAAAATAATAAATTGGTCATTTTCAATCCATGACTGTTTGTGGGACATTGCTGTGCGCAATTGGCTGCCGCGTTCGTCCACAAATATACAGTCAATTCACTTTATAGTATATTCTGTGAAGCGCTTTGGGACGTCTAGAAGACGTGAAAAGTGCTATATCAAATGCAAGGATTATTATTATTATTATGATGATTTAAGTTGCCAATTACCAGTTTTGTAAATTAAATTAATGAACACAACCATGTTTGTGATGGTGAGCAAATCAAGAGGCATTAATTGATGATTGAATCATGGTTTGAATATCAGTCGACTTTTTGAGAATTTGGATTGTGATTTGGAGATTTAATTTTTTTTACATACATTTTCACGTCCTTTAATTTAAGCCTACCATTTCTTCAATTTGATCATACCTGAAGATCGTCCGCTTTGACTGTGCCTATGGTCTCCTCACTTCTCTACCCGGCTCAGCGTCAAGCTCCAACACTCATTACAGCAGCTCAATGCGTGGGGAGTGGAAATAATACCACCCATTGCTGCAGTGTGTCAGGAAGTCCTTCTCGAACTGAGAGGAAGTCCGAGATGCTACCCACCCCGCATGATGGACACTATATAAATGCAAGTTGTTGTTGTTTGTCTTCTATAAATTTTTTCTTTCACAAATTTAATTCAGGCTGAAACACCCTGCCTCAGTGTAAATTAACTATCCAGTCCGTCTAAGCAAGCAAAAATTCAATTAATCACCTCAACAAACAGGAAGTGAGGACTTTAACCTCTCTTAAGTAGTTGCATGGTTATTACTATCAATAGTACTCAGTGGGACAAGGTACATAATGAAAGATAAACGTAGGAAGTCTAAGTGTATGGACTGCAGATAGGTTTGGTGGTGGAGAAAGTCATGGGCAGAAGAGGTGGGGTATTTAGTGCTGGAAACAATGCCTTGCAGCCCAAGCACCAGTGGAGAGGCCTGGGGAAAGCTTTTCCAAGCTGTTGAATGCAGTCGTCAAGGAACAAATGATTGGAGGAAGTGCTTGATTGGCACAAAGAAGTTAGGAAAGGAAAACATCACATATAACTATTTAAATAATTCATGCAGCCTAAAGACCCTCAAAGATGTTGATAAAGCTGAAAGGAACCACTGTTGAATCTCATGTAGGTGTTAGCCAAATACATGTGACTTGTAGGTAACTGACTGAATTTGATTGACTCAAAACATTTTTTTACTTGGGAGTGTTTTATCCTCATCGGTCTGGATTGGATTGTTCCCAGATTTTAAAGAACACTTAACTGTGTCAGCCACTCGCAGTGTTTCATTTTCATATGGTGTTGGCCAGGAACTTTCAATCCGTGAATTTATTGCACATACAGCTGTGAATTATTGCAATTTTCTCTTTGCAACCATTTATTTTCCTTAACGAGCCTGCACTTATGATGGGAACGTGGATCAGAGCTTTTGCGCTGAGACAACTCATATTGTGGCACAAGTGGACAATTCAAGCCAAGCTCAGGTAAACGGAAAATGGGGCAATAGGTACTGAGTTCTAATCTGTGATTCATATTGGGAATTCTTTAGTAGTAATCACATTTGAACACCACTTTCAACCATTGCGAACTTAACTCCAAGACCAAAGGGCCATCTTCATCTGAAACTCTTTTGTGATCTTGTGAACATTTAACGAACTCTAGGAAAGCACCAGAAAAAGCTTTAAGATTGCATGTAGTTAATTCACTGCTAACCTGAGACGAGATACAAAATCAGTCATGTTTCAGTACCAAATCAAATGTCTTTCAATAAAATTCTGTTGCATTTGTTAATCTCTCTTTAAAGTTTTCTTGCCGTATGACTTTTCAAAATGTTAGATATTAAACAGATATTTGCTAGATCAATGAGCTTTTTAAATCTTCAAAATATGTTCTACTTCATGGTATTTTTAATCAAAGTCAGCATATTTATTGTTTAATTGAAAATAACATACATTCTATCAAAGGTGGAAAGAAAAAGCAATAATTTTAACAAAAGCTTTCATAGATTCCAGAGTAAATTAGTGGAATTCAGCACAATGACGTGCCTGGCCTCTTCATTTGCTCTTAGGGTTGATGATGATGAGTCAGAAAGACCAAGATAATTGGGTTTGGGGCCATTTTTGGAAAAACCCTTGTTGGTTATCATAACTTAGTTGTGGGCAAGTGAGGAGGGTCATTCATGTGTGAGTGAGGTCAATTATAATTAGGTCACATTGTTTTCTTTTTTGTATTTTATTCTCCGTTACAGGTTAAACATTTGTGATTTTCAGTGTGAAAGGAGACCTCTAATCCTTGTATTTGCCTTATCACATGGTTGAGACATCTTAAAAGGCTTCACAGAATTTACTGTATAATTAATTAATTGATAACCTAGATAATAAAGCACAAAGGAAACTCATAGATACTGATAAAACCTGTAGATTTTAGGAATGAAGATGATCTTGTGTCAGTATTATAACAGAGGTAGTTTAAGTTGTTAACCCCAATGGCAACTGAGTAGTTTGGCTTTAAACAAGATACAATACCTTTAGAAGAGAGGGAGGAGAAACTAGCAAAATTAGTTTTAAATCTGAAATTGTCGTTTTCGTTAACCTTAGGCCTCATTCTTGCATTATAACATGTTGGTGAGGAGACAAGGCATGTTTTCTGGACCAAGTTGGTACAATGATTGACATTGCTAAAGCTTGCTGAAGCTTTTTTCAACATGATGGCCAAAGCATTGCTGGGAGTGGGATTGGCATTACATTAACATTTATGACATGATGAACAAAACAGCAAAAACACATCTTTTAAAGTAGTTAACTCCAGCACATAGCAAGCCTAGACAAGTTGAGCTGCATGTCTTCCTGTGCTGAAATTTCTGTGATTTTTAACCCTCAATCCTCCAGCACAATATAAAAGTATATCCTGACTGATGTGGTGTGTTCTGACTCTAGGAGTTGCAAAGCTGCCTGCAAGAGAATCCTACAGCACTGGTAGTGCAAGCTCGATGGCTGGAGGTTTGTTTTTCAGAACAGAAGAAAGTTAGTCCTTCTGCACATGAAATAAAACTAAAAAACCCAGAGTAAAACCAAAGTTTGTTTCAATCAAATACTACACTGTAAAGTTGTGTTTTATAAATGGAAGCATAAATGAATAAATATAAGATTGGATTAATAATATTTAGGCTTTGTTACTTATTTTACCAAAATTCCATTACAATTTGTTTCTGAGCTTTGTTGTTTCAGTAATAATAATAATAATATAATAATCCTTGCATTTGATATAGCGCTTTTCACGTCGGGAGGACGTCCCAAAGCGCTTCACAGAACACACTGTAAAGTGAATTGACTGTATATTTGTGGGCGAACGCGGCAGCCAATTGCGCACAACAATGTCCCACAAACAGTCGTAGATTGAAAAATGACCAATTTAATTATTGTTTTTGGTTTTTTGGAGGGATTATTATTAGGCTCTGTGTGGAGTAAGGAAACTTGCCCAAGGTTTCGCCCTGCCTGGAATTGAACTCAGGTCTCTCACTTGCAAAGCGAGTGCTCTAACCACTGAGCTACAGGACTCCACAGTAACGTTGTTGTTCTGGCAACAATAAAGTTTCCTTTGATTTTCGGACTCAAACTCACTTGCTTTTCATTTTCCTTTTTCTCCCAAACTGTGACAACAAATTGAGATGAAAAAGCTCAACTGGAATTTATGAAGGCTTTATACTTTCTTCCCCTCCCCCACTCCCCCTTTTCCCAACATTCCTTCCTTTGGGCTTGAGTGGAGTTTACTGAATATGAAGGTGCGCCAGATAAGGGCAAACCAAAGTTCTGAAACAGACAATATTCCAAAGTCAAGTATTCTGTATACTTGTGAATACTAGTCCTTGTTTCTTTGCCACAAGGATTTCTGTTAAGTTGCAGTTCAGTGCGCAGGAAATGACATATAATGCTGTGCCTGTCACTGAACTATCATCACCTCAAGAATTTAGGCCATTATGCTGAGTCTGAACAGTCTGAGTCCAGCATCCTGTCCTGAAATTACCTTTCACAACTCTTTATCTGTGTTCTTTGCCCTGCTACAAAATCATGTCTGAAAGTAAGTCTTTGGAGTTCAGACTTAGGAACCACTCCCCATGAAAATTCCATTTAATCACTGTTTTTAGACTTTGCAAGCGAGAGACCTGAGTTCAATTCCAGGCAGAGGGCGAAACCTTGGGCAAGTTTCCTTACTCCACACGCCTAATAATAATCCCTCCAAAACCAAAAACAATAATAAATTGGTCATTTTCAATTTACGACTGTCTGTGGGACATTGGCTGCCACGTTCGCCCACAACTATACAGTCAATTCACTTTACAGTGTGTTCTGTGAAGCGCTTTGGGACGTCCTCCCGACGTGAAAAGCGCTATATCAAATGCAAGGATTATTATTATTATGATGAGGGATGGGTGGATATCATGTGGTATTTCTAATACAATGCGTTGAGAGAATCCGCAGAAGGCACAATTGTGGCAGGAATATACTCAAATACGTTACTGCTATGAGATGTGGCGGATTTTCCAACAAAGGATGAGGAAGCCCATAGCAAATGATTGTAATATATCACAGACATCTCTGGAACCATGAAAAAATCTCAACCAACAGGTTCAAATTTGACTTGCAGATGCCTGTCAGAACCGTGAGCTCATTGTTTGGGCGGATACTCAAGTGCAGTAGAGGAGGACCGCTGCTTGCCTCATCCTTCGAATGAGACAACAACAACAACTTGCATTTACATAGTGCCCGGGCAGCATCCCGGAGCTCTTAGACGTTAAACTAAGATCATAGTCTAGGTTGAAAAAGCCAGTGTACCATCCTTCAGATGAAATGTTATACCACAGCCATGTCTCTGTTCAGATGGACGTTAAAGATCTCATGATACTATTGGAAAAGAGAAAGAATTTTCTCCTGGTATCCATCATACACTCAGATAAATTGTCATTCACCTCATAGCTGTTTGTGGGACTTTCCTACACAGAGAAAGGCTGCCGAATTTACCAACAAAAATAAGCACGACTTTCAACAGCAATTACTGTAAAACACTTATAGATATTTTGATGTGATAATGTCCAAGTTTTTTTGTTTTATCAAAGGTCAAACGTTGACGACTCTTGATTCAGCTTTCAGTATTCTCATATCATTTATGATCTTTTTCAGCTGTTAAAGCATTCTAAAGATGCATGTGGTAACCTACCGCTGACTTCTGATGTTAAGTGTAAAGATAATAACTTGCATGACCATGACAGATTCCCCCTGCCTCTTTGGAGCAAATTGGGATGATAATAAAAAAATACTTGCATTTGATATAGCGTCTTGTCATGCCGTTGAGGTGTCTCAAAGCGCTTCACAGAACATATGTCAAGTCCTGCAGCTCAGTGGTTAGAGCACTCGCTTTGCAAGCGAGAGACCTGAGTTTAATTCCAGGCAGGGCGACACCTTGGGCAAGTTTCCTTACTCCACACGCCTAATAATAATCCCTCCAAAACCAAAAACAATACTAAATTGGTCATTTTCAATCTACGACTGTTTGTGGGACATTGCTGTGTGCAATTGGCTGCCGCGTTCGCCCACAAATGTACAGTCAATACACTTTACAGTGTGTTCTGTGAAGCGCTTTGGGACGTCCTCCTGACGTGAAAAGCCCTACATTAAATGCAAGGATTATTATTATTATTATTATATTGTAAAGTCAATTGACTGCATATTTTGTGGAAGAAACGCAGCAGCCAATTGCGCACTGGAGTTGCACACAAACAGTCATGGATTGAGTGACCAAATTATTATTACCTATTCTTGCTTCCTACTGCTTTTTGCCCACCCAACATGCTTCCTCCAGGATTGTTAAAGTCCTTAGTGTCGTTACCGAGTGGTTGCCTTCACTCCTCCACAATGCTCCCGTGAGAAAGATTGGAAAGTTAAAAGTAAGCTTGTCTAACTCGGAGAGATTCGTAAATTCAAATTGGATTTTCTTGTCCCACAAGAGTAGACAAGACATAAGAGAGGCTGAGATGAAGAAAACCCTTCGGTCCAATTTGATTTTGTCTTTTCAAAATACCCACCCCATCTTCTCCCAATTGCAGCATTTCACTGAATGAGTCCCAGTAACAACAACAACAAGATTCCATTTATAGAGCGCCTTTCACATCGGGAGGACGTCCCAAAGCGCTGGACAGTTGGGTCAGGACCCGAGCAGGGGGGAAATGGTCAGGGTGAGGGGAGGTAAGGGAGGGGGCAAGGAGGGGGTAAGAGTTGAGTGGGGCGCTGAAGGCACGGTCAAAGAGAAAGCTCTTGAGACCGGCCTTGAAGGAGGAAAGGGAGGAAGCAAGGCAAAGGCACTGGGGGATGGAGTTCCAGAGCCGAGGGGCTGAGAGGCTGAAGGCCTGGCCACCGATGGTAGGGCGGTTGGGGCAGGGGATGTGGAGCAGACCGGAGCCAGAGGAACGGAGGGTACGGGCAGGTAGGTAGGGGATAGTAGGTCGGAGAGTTAGGAGGGAGCAAGGCCGTGAATGACCTTGTAGGCGAGGATGAGGATCTTGAATTCGATCCTCTGGGGGATGGGGAGCCAGTGGAGGCGAGCGAGGGTGGGAGTGATGTGGTCCCGAAGCCTGGTGCGGGACAGTACACGAGCTGCAGAGTTCTGAATGACCTGCAGCTTGTGGAGGGAGGTGCCGGGAAGGCCGGCGAGGAGAGAGTTCCCATAGTCCAGCCTTGAGGTGATAAAGGCGTGGACCAGGGTTTCAGCAGCGTGAGGGGTGAGGTAGTGCCGTAGTCTGGCGATGTTCCGGAGGTGATGGAAGGCGGTGCCAGTTGTGGCGCGGATGTGGGGAAGAAAGGACAGCTCAGGGTCGAACAGAACACCGAGGTTCCTGACTGGCTTTGAGAGGTGGAGAGTGCAGCCTTGGATGCTGATGCTGTCAGCGCCTGAGGTGCGGAGGCGCTGACGCGAGCCAATCAGGAGGGCCTCAGTTTTACGCACGTTGAGCTGAAGAAAGTTGTCTCTCGTCCAGGACTCAATGTCAGACAGGCAGCTGTCAGGACATCGGTGGTCGTGGAGTTGAGGGTAGAGGAGGAAAGGTAGAGTTGGGTGTCATCCGCATACATGTGGAAGTTAACCCCATGTCTGCGGATGATGTCACCAAGGGGGAGCATATAGAGGGTGAAGAGGAGGGGACCGAGGACAGAGCCCTGAGGGACACCGCACGAGACAGTGCGGGGGCTGGAGGAAAAGCCGTTTGTGGAAACAAAATGAAGACGGTGGGAGAGGTACGACCTAAACCACTCAAGGGCAGGGCCTTGAAGATTGAGGTGGGAGGACAAGCGGAGGTGGAGGATAGCGTGGTTGACCGTATCGAATGCTGCCGATGGGTCAAGGAGGACGAGGAGGCAGAGGGAGCCCTGGTCGCAGATGGTCAAGATGTCATTGGTGACCTTGACCAGGGTGGTTTCTGTGCTATGGGCAGCACGGAAACCCGACTGAAGGGGTTTGAATAATGCATGGTTGGAGAGGAAAGAGCGCAGCTGGGAGGCGACAACTCTTTCAAGGACCTTGGACAGGAAGGGGAGGTTGGAGATGGGCCGGTAGCTTGATAGCTGCGACGCATCAAGGGAGGGTTTTTTCAAAGTGGGAGTGATGATGGCAGTTTTTAGGAAAATGGGAACAGAGCCAGAGGAGAGGGACAGGTTGATGATGTCTGTGATAAGTGGGGCAAGAAGGTGGAGCTGAGAGATAAGGAGTGGAATGGGGATGGGGTTAAGGGAGCAGGTGGTGGGTTTCAGGGACAGCATGAGTTTGGTGACAGAGGGTGGGGAAACGGGTACGAAGGTGTGCAGGGGAGGATGGATAGGAGTCAGAGTGTGGGAGGGAGGGGGTGGGGGGTGGGTGGAAGTTGGAGGGGGAGTGACCACAGAGTCCAGTAGCTAGTGGTTAGCACGTTTGCCTCGCAAGCGAGAGACCCGGGTTCGATTCACAAGCAGGGCGAAACCTTAGGCAAGTTTCCTTACTCCACATGCCTCTGTTTACCTTGCCAGTAAGTAGGAACCCAGTTGTCAGGTGATTGATGGATCCCTTCAATAAAAAAATGGGTCACTCAATCCACGATACTGCTGTGCGTCATTGGCTGCTTTGTTTCACCCAGAAGTTATAGAATCAATTCAGTTTACAGTACATTCTGTGAAGCACTAAGTTTGTCGGAATGGGATGTGCTGTCCCTCCCAGGAGGGATGCATTCCTGCTTACCCAATTCCGGAAAGTATCAGACACGGGTTGGCAAGAGACAAGGCTCGGGGACCCCAGAGTGTGTGTTGGAGTAACTGCTGGAGTCTAACCCGCTAAAACTCCATAGCTTGCCATCGATAGCACTGCGGGGCAAGCTTTCCCGCTGTTTGTCCAGCTCGGACCAACCTAGCCGTTAGGGCTTTGGGTGGCGGGGTTGACAGGAGCCGAGTGACCTCCGGGTCGCGCCTGAGAACTTTCCTAATGGACCGTGCCTACGGTCACCTCCGCCCCCCACAACCCCCCACCCCCCCCCACCCCCCCACCCCCCCCAAAGCTGGGTGTCATGCTCCTCCCTCCACTGTCAAGCACCTCTGAGGCTGTGGGAGGGTCCCTGTAGATCAACACAAGCTGTTGTGGTGATGGAGTGCGACGATACTCACAGTGGATCTCACAGACTGAGTGAGAGTGGGTGGAATTAGGCTCAGTGTTAACACCGCCCTGTTCTGACGTGCGCCCTTGTAGGTACCTACCTGTTGGGGAAGTGAACTTCGATCAGTCTGAGCAGCAGTTTACTCAAGTTATGACAACGTGAACTTACCTCCCACCCAACCAACCAACCACCCACCCAACCAACCAACCACCCACCCACCCACCCACCAGCTCCTGCCTCTCTCTGCTCTCTCTGCCTCTCTCCATCCCACCCTTTGCAACTTGGCAGATGTGATCCATTTCTTTTTGCAAAGACCTGACTGTCGGTGGGACATCGACACTGAAGCCGAAAGAATGCTGAGGTAAGGAGAGTGGCTTTGCAGTAGGTTTTGTGAACCTGTTGCAATTACGTTTCCCTTTTGGTGAGAGTTTAAAACTCGAACTCAGGAGTTTGGGGGAAGGTTTTTTTTTTGTCCTCTCTCTCTCTCTCTCTCTCTCTCTTTCAGTGCAAAGTTGCCTTTGACTGAATTTCTCTGTACCACCACCACCACCACCACCAAAGCAACAGCAATGGTCAATGTCAATGTCCAGGTTTCTCTTGAATCCTCTTTAACTCTTTCATCTAATTTCGTTGTGTTCAGGAACCCATTTCCTAAACGTGTGCATTTTAACAGCAACTACCTGTGCTCAAGCCCACTCACATCACCACCCACCCACCCTCCCACCCTTCACCTGGTTTTGTTTCTTTCTGTCGGATTTTCTTGATCAAGTAGTTTATTTTGCAGTCGGTCAATGCTCTCTGTATTTTTTCTCTCTCTCTCTCTCTGTTAGTGCAATCACTTCCTGGTTACTCCCAAGACATTGCACGTTTCTATATCTCTCTCTCTCTCTCTCTCTCCTTTTCTCCTCTTTTCCTCTCCACCTTTCAGATGCCAAGGCTTCTCTGGTTCAGTGAAGGTTTCAGGGTGAGTGATCAGGTATTCCACCTGTGGAATGTCTCCACAAGGACTCTCCCTGACATTGAGAGAAATCATTTTGCAGAATAAATCTGTTTTTATAACAACAGCAAGATTACATCTGTACAGCGCCTTTCAAGTCGGGAGGACGTCCCGAGGCGCTGGACAGTGTACAGCATTTCAGACCGGAGCTGGGGTCAGGGAGAGGAGAAGCGAGGGGAGGGGATGACCGATGGCGTGGTCAAAGAGGAGGATTTTGAGGCAGGACTTGAAGGAGGCTAAGGAGGGGGTGAGGCGGAGTGATTGGGGGATGGAATTCCAGAGGTTGGGGGCAGAGTGGCTGAAGGCTCTCCCGCCAATGGTATAAGGTTGGCTTTGTGTGTGTTTGTGAAGACCCGAAAAAAAATAAGCCATGAAATAGAGGGGACAAACAGAAGAACGCGTAATCTTGGAAAAATGTCAAAATAATTTATTTATAATGGACTCTCATTGATAACAATAATAATCCTTGCACTTGATGCAGCGCATTTCACAACAGGAGAACCTCTCAAAGCATTTCATAGGATTTAGTGTAAACTTAAAAGTAATTTGTAGGCGAACGCGGCAGCCAATTTGCACACAGCAATGTCCCCACAAACAGCAATGATACAAATGATGGATTTTACCTGGGGTGGTGGAGAGGATGGTGGGGGGAGAATTAGCAGGACACCAGGAGAAACTCCTTTCAAATAAATAGTGGTTATAACTGGGCAGCTTTTCTTCATGCAAGTAAAAAAAAATTCTTCCTTAAACAAATGGTATAAGATTCGAGGTTTGAGTTGTTTTGTGACTGTAGATACGATTTGAGTTATTGCAAACAAATAGATTTTTAAGAAAACAAACTATTTTGTGGTACTAAATCTCATCTAACAATTTCTCTCAGGTCTGTTCGTAAGTCAGCCTTTGATTTCTGCGGTTTTGATGCTTTACGTATGTTTGATTACAGTCAGTGTGGGAAGAAAGTCTGCGCCAAACTTTCCTATGCTGTGGTACCCGTGATTACAGCATCATCTCCACAGCCCACTATTTCCTCTCAATGTACCTAAATGGAAAATTAATTGTGTCACATCATAGGGGAAGTTTAGAATAGAAGGAAAGTATTTCTGAGGGCATCCTCTAACTTGTGCTTCAAAACTATATGAATAGGGTTATAAGACAATGACCAAGCTCCACTTTGTGTATAGAGATCTCTTCCTTCAAATTTACCTACAAAATACACAGTCACTACATTTTACAGTAAATCCTGTGAAGTGCTCTCAGATGACTCCTGACATGAAAGGTGCTCTTTCAAACAACAACAAATTACATTTGAACAGTGCACTTCACGACAGGAGGGCATACTTGACAGTCAGGGATTTGGACCCGAGCTGGGGATTGGGGTAAGGAGGGATGGAGTGCAGGGAAGGTAGGAGTACCGAAGGCCCAGTCGAAGAGGGGGGTCTTGAGATGGGCCTTGAAGGAGGCTATGGAGGGGGTGAGGCTGAGGGATTTGGGGATGGAGTTCCAAATGGTGGGCAGAAAGGCTTAAGGCCTGATCGCTGATGGTGAGGCAGGCGGGGGGGACATAGAGCAGGCCAGAGCTCGCTGAGCAAAGGGAGCTGTCAGCATTAAATATTATTGCAAAGATTATTATTTGCAAGGATTATTATTTATTATGAGATAATTCAAATAATTCACTGCCTCCTCATGATTAGTAATTACAACAACTTGCATTTATATAGCATCCTTCACACGAGTTAGTGTCTTGACGTGGTCTGATAAGTTAGTTAATAATTTAACCACTATCAACAAACGGTTATTTTATTAAAGAAAATCCTTCAAAATACACAGCCTCAGTTGATAGAATAATGCGTTGCTTTATTTATTAACATGTGCAAACACCCTCACTGCACTTGATAAGTTGTACAAACACTCCCATTGTCAACATTTCTATTGATGTTTTCTTCTATGGTTGGTTTGTCTTCATTGAAACCTTTGGAACGGTACATAGTGTGTAGATAAACACTTAGATAAGACCTGTTGCAGGACTGTTTTTTGGGCTCCCAAGTTTGTTATTTTTCACCCTCCCCGTTTCATTTTTCTCCCTCTCCTTTTTTTCTAATTGCTCTTTCCTCTGTCTCCTGATCTTGTTTTCCTCCCTCCACTCTGCTCCAATTGTCTGATTGCTACCCCCCTCCCCCCCACCCCCGCACCCCCACCACCTCACCCCCAGCCCCATCCTTCTTTTCTTTCAGTAAGAATTTCCTGATAGCGATTGAGAGCAGGAATCCTGGCTGAGTTAGTTTTTCTCAGTAGGGTCTTCAGCCTCTCTCGGCTCGGCAGTGGAAAGCAGCCGAGGTTTGCAATTATGATCACCTAGTGAGTTAACCCCCTCCCCCTCACACAAACACACAGAAAGAAGTAGAAAGTGAAGAGGTAGACATTGGGCATGGAGATGCTCTCTACAATTGAATAGCTTTATGTATATATATAGGTAGATATAAAATATATAACAATATATATATTATAATATGATAGCTTTCTAGTATTTGTTATAAGAATTTATCCGGCTCACTTGTGGCAACTTGGGTAAGGTACCAAGGAAGCAATTTTCACCTGAGGAATTGTAACCCTATACGAGTCAGGACTGGTTCTATTTCCCATGATTATGTGGCTTCAATATACAATATCTGTCAGAAACAGACGTGCGTGTATCTACATGCATGGCTGTTTTGTGCAAACCTTGATATGAATTGGTTGCTGTGTTGTGGTCATAGAAACATTCATGTCTGTATTTTTAGCACTGAAGGAGCAAAACCTGGAGAGTTGATGTAAGAAAAAGGCTATAAAATAAAAGACTAAACTGGTAGAAACCTGAAATTTCTTCATCAATTTGAAATTTAAGATCATGTTGAATTTTGGAAAAGTCATAGTTTCTGCACTGAATGTTAATCGTGTAAATTAAAAACATTTTGGGGAGCTTGATGGGAAAACAAGGGTAATTTCCTATGCGTTTTTAGCACTTATTAGGGAGATAAAGTGATGCCTGACATACCACTGAAATGATTGTAGTTTTTGCCCAGGGTTAGGGCGGATTGTTAGTAGCTCCAAAATTGTGTCATTTTCACACTGTCAGACAGAATAATAATCCATGCATTTGATATAGTGCTTTATCACATCATTGAGTAAAGTGTAGTATCTGTGGGCAAATGCTTCAGCTGATTTGTGCACAGCAATGCCCCACAAACAGTAATGGAGTGAATGATCATTTTTTACCTTGAGAATTGTTGGCCAAGACACTGGAAGAAACTTTTTGAATAGTGCCATGGGATCTTCAATGTCCACCTGAAGAGACAAACCAGACTTTGGTTTAAACATCTCTTCTGAAAGATGGTACCTCTGATGATACAGCACTTCCACACTGAAATTTCAGCCTAGGTTATGAGTTTAAAGTCCTGACGTGGGGCTTGAGCCCACATCCTTCTGACTCAGAGGCGATCGTTCTACCAACTGAACCAAGCTGCCACCTGTATGCGAACAGTTCTTTGGTACCCCACAAACTACAGGTTTGTTACTGAGGCAATCAACTTCAGAGAAATATCTCTGAGCAGGAAATATGAACCCGCAAGTCTAACAGAGGATGAAGGGTTGGTAAATAGCTTAGCTCCCTTATGTCCCATACTTGTGTGAGAGGGAAAGGGAGCAGTATCTCAAATGCTTTGTGTTCCTAAAAGTGGGGGTGGTGGGAAAGAAATGTTGGTCCATTGCCATACCCCCTCGAGGGCATCTCCACTCACCCCAGGAGAATGTTGTAGCTGTACTTCAACTGACCCTCTTCTGAACTTCCCTCACCTCCTGACTTCCATTCATCCTTCGCCTACCTTTCCCTCCGAGATGCCTTAGTCTGATTTGCGCTGTGCAGTTGTGCTGCAGACAGACAACATTTGGGAGACTGAAAGATTCAAACAAGAACCCACATGGGCAAATATCAATAACACTCCAGAGGTATTTTATTGAAACAGGTACGCTAAACATCATGAGGTTCTGTTCATCTTCGCACAAGCCTCATGCTCCTTGAATGTCATTTGCATCTTCAGGCAAGTCAGTCTGAAATGGAAGGATTGCATTTCATATAGCGTCTTATCATGTTGTTGATACGTTTCAAAGTGCTTCACAGAATGTACTGTAAAGTGAATTGACTGTATATTTTGTGGGCATGAATTTCAGCAATCTTCTGAGCGAAACCTAACAAAGTCTGTTCCAAACATCCACAGATGTGCAGCAGGAGTAGCAATTGGATAGCAGTGAGTAACCACCACCTATTTCGTTCCTCTGCCCTCCTCCAAGTCCGCAGTCTTTGAGGCCAAATACATGGTAACCTAATTGAGATTTGGTAAATCAACTTTATCTCAGTCAGAAGTCTGAGACCGAATCGAGAAACTTCCTGATCTATAGGAGGAAGTACATTTACCCACTGAAACAGCCATAGGGAATACTTACCTAATTTTGTTTAGCACCTGAAGGTAATATTGTGAAATGCTATACTATCTATCTATCACATCTTGCTGCCTGTATAATTGTAGCCTGACTGACAGATAGATATAAATTCACAGATGACATTTACTTATACCTAGAAGCGCAAGAACCACACGTCCCACAGAACCTTTGATAATCTCTCTATTTGTTGCTCTTATAACAAGTTTCCATCCTGTTCTTGTGCAGATTTATCAACATACACCCAAAATAAGCATGCAATGCGTTCTTTCACTTGCTACTTGGAAATGGAGGATTGTTTGTCGATTTTTTAGTTGGTTGTTAGTCGACTAGCGTATCGCTTTCAGGAGGTCACAATCCCTTAAAAAAATGTGGTCCCTCAATCCATGACTGTTTGTTGGACACTCGTGTGCACAATTAGCTGCTGCGTTTCTTCCACAAATTATATAGGCAA